ATGTGTTGACGAGCAAAACACCAGATACCAAAGAGGAGAGAACCGCCAAGGGCGGAGAATCTGATATCGCCCAGCCCCGCACTAACCGCTTCCGGACAGGCAAGCGAGCCCCTGAGGCCGTGCACTCGGCCAAAACAGGCCACCGCCGGCTGACATTGCAACGTCAACCCAACCTCCAGCCGTGAATCACCCCAACTTCAGCTGTCAATATCTCCCCCTTCCCCATCCATTTTCATCTCAAAAATACGACTACGAGAAAGCGCATGACCAGACCTTTCTGCTGATCCCCTTTTTACCTGGCCTTCGCCCATGGTCGTTGCCCTATTGCGCGTCCCGACGCTATGACTCGGTACGGGGGCATGGGGAGGACGCGCCCGAAAAAGCTCACCTCCAAGGCGTCCATCCCCGTCGTTCGCGAACACGAGATCGATGCCCTCGACGAAGACATCCAGAGCTCTCTACAACAGATTGAAACCGGCGTCGAAAAGGCCGAGGAGTCGGTGAGTCCCTCTTTTCGCACTAATTTTAGCCTCATCCCTATCCCCATCACGTGACATTGTCGCCAAAATGACACGAGATTTTCACCCCAATATAAAACGGCCCATGCTGACCCCAGACCGCGTCTAGGAAATCCATCTGCAAATTGCAATCAATGCCACCGCCCAGGGCAAAGTAAATGAGGCACACATTCCCACCCCCGAGACCATTCTCAGTAATCTTCAATATGACGAACTCTACCCTCCCATATTCTCGCAACCTGCGACATACATTCGCTTCTCCTCGACTGTCGAGGACTGCTGCGGATGTCCGTACAACATGACCGAGGAGGACGATGTCTTCCTCAAGATCATGAACCAGAAGCGCGACGCGTCGGCGATGCCATGCACCGAGGATATCTTTGAGGAAGTCATGAACTTCTTTGAGGAGACAGCGCAGACCAAACAGCCGTATGCCTCAGTCGATAACCCACCCGTGCTGTCGTTCGCCGACATGCAAGATATGATGGACGCCAGCTTAGAAGATTCCATGAAGCCCTTTGCGAAGGAAATATATGAGCACTGGAAGTCGCGTCGGATGGCCGTGCAGAACAACCCCCTTGTAGCACAGCTCAAGGTAAGTCGCCTCGCATGCCATTGGCGATACTGCCTAACTAACATACCGCAGTTCGAAACCGGCCAAGATACCGATGACAGCGATCCATTTGTGTGTTTCCGTAGACGTGAGGTCCGTCAGATCCGCAAGACCCGTGGTAGAGATGCGCAGAGCGCAGAAAAGCTGCGACGTCTCCGCAAAGAGCTGGAAGATGCTCGCGAGCTCGTTGCTTTGGTGCGCCAGCGTGAGATTGCCCGCAAGGAGATGCTCTCCATGGAGAAGAAGATCTTCGAGCAGCGTGCTCAGGTAAAGGAGATGAAGCGCAAGCTCAACGTCAAGGACGACGACGAGGATCTCATCAACCAAAAGGTAAGCGTCGCTGCTCTTGCCGCCAGACACGTGCATATGCTGACCTATCCTCGCAGCCCAAGAAGAGAGTGCTCGAGATGCCTCAACAACGTCCCAACGGTCCTCAATTGCGCATGCCTCTCAAGGCTGGCCTTCAGGGCGCAGAGGACCTGCAGCTCTTGGAGGAAGTTCAGGCAGAGAAAGAAAACGAGATTCTGCGCGATATCAAGCAGAATATCACTAAGCACATCAAGTGGAACGAGGGATATGTGGATCACACCCGTGCACCACTATCACCATCCCCCGAAAGGACATTCGATGTGGCAGCCTTCCGACCTGCTTTCACAGCTCAATTGCCCACTCCTCCCTCATCCGAAGCATCTGGTGAGATGGATACCTCTTTAGACGTCACAAGCCCGCTCTTCTCTCGAGACAAGCTTGCTTCGCATGCCCTGGAATTGCACGACGAACCACACAAAATGCCATCTTTCCGACGACGAGTAGGACGTGGTGGCCGATTGATGATAGACCGTCGCAACATGGGAACTCACAAAGTTGAACTGGATCCGCTCAAGGCAGACCGCTTCAAGTTCGACCACGAGGATTCCGACGAGGAGCCCGAGTATGACACCGATGCGTACAGCATCCAAATCATGCAACACCGGGCCATCACCATGGCCAAGGCGCGCGAACAAGCCGCTCAGGCTCAAGTGGCTGCCCAGGCTCATGCGCAGGCGCAAGCCCAGGCAGTGCAAGCCCAAGTACAAGCTCGACGACTTCAAGCCGACCAAAATGGTCCTCACGGACCCGGGTCCAATGCCCCGGTGGCAGCGTCCGCAGCCTGAACGACTTTCTTTTCTCCTTTCCTCATTTCACAGCATTTGGCGGGCGTTTCTGCGTGGCTTTGTTTTCGTTCTTCTTTTCGACACGTTTTTTTTCGCCTTCTATCACCCTTGTAGTTTTAGTATCTCTTTTCTTTTCATGCTTTGACGATTTCCGCGGGCGGCGAAGGGTCCTGGACTGAAGCCCTATATACTTGTTTCCCTTTTCTTTTCTTCGTTTGCTGTTTCCGCGTCCCCTCCACTTCTTCTCTCGCACCTCTTTCTCGACATTTCGTTTCGGCGCAGGTGCCAAGTCACGTCGTGGCCTGAGCGCACCTGCATTTGTTAGTGTACATATTTTCTCTTTTTTTCTTGGTGGTGCTGGCTGGTTGTCGAGCGGCCTTTGTATGATGGATAACCGAAGTTATGATGCAAGCGACGAATGGGAGGGCAAAAGAAAAGGCTCAAAAACATTCAGAAAAATCTAACAATTTAATACTCGCAAAAAGCACTTTTCTTTGTCGTTGGTTCAGTAGAACGCTTGGGTTGTGGGAGATGTAGATCGAAGTGATGGAGGCTTTCACACCCGCTGGGTCTTGAATTGTCGTGAATCACCGTTATCGCCATTGGCGGGGCGCTTCAATGATCCAGTGGCTGTGGGCTCCAACATGCCGAGGACAGCCTGCAGGACTTCCTTCTCTCCAATGCGTACCTGGAGTGCCATCCTGGCTCGGCGAGACGAGGTGTCCGAGGCGACAGACATATCCAAAGGAGGAAGCGAGGCCAAAAGCTGAGCATCTTGTGCCAAAGTCGATGCATATTGTGCCTGCTGGGTCTGCAAAGCTCTAGTCAAAATGGCAGCTTGGTTGGCTTCGAATGTTGGCTTGGGAGGCTTTTTCTTAGACTGACGCTGCTTGAACTCCTCTTCAGGGAGAGCAAGAGTAGTCAAGAGAATCACCAGCTCAGCAGGGAGAATATCTTCCAAAGATGGGTTGGCGTTGACCGGTCTGGGGATCACATAGCCGTCGTCGAGGATGTCGAGTTCATCGAGAAATTGGAGTCGGGGCTGGGACTCAATATCGGCGTTTCCAAGACCTGCAGCCTGGCAGATGCTGCTCAGGGACAGCTCGACTACGTCGTATTGGGCGTAGTTTTCGGTCACATAGCCGTACCGACGGAGGAGGTCTGCGCGCGGAATTTCTCCGTAGTCGTTGAAAATTTCCTCGCCTTGTTGGATTGGCTTGATTGCCTTCATGACCAAACTTCCTTCCTCTTGGTAGAGACGGGCCTGATAGCAAGTTAATTTCGGTGTCGAAGATGGGGTGTAATAGACTCACGTTGTTTCGGTCCGCGTCAGCGTTAAGGAGATCAGCGAGCGGGACCATGCCCTTGGGAAGTTGTTCCTCCTCATCATCGGTCATGTAGCTATCATCAGCAGCCTCTCCCTCATCATCGTCATCCTCAGCCTTTTCAATATCAAAGGCATAAGCCATGATCAACGACCCCATGACATGAGCAAGCTCAAGCAGAGCAGCAGCACCGGCATCACCATCAAAAGAAGCCACACCGTGGGCTGGTGGGAAGAGAGCCGGGTTCCCTCTAACAACAGGAGCAATCATCTCCAAAATGGACTGCTCAGCACCCTCTCTGCCAATCTTCTCCACAATGGTACTAGCTTGCAACTCGTGCAGCTCAGCAGGCGACCAAAACATCAGGGTATCAAAACGAGAAGGTAAGACTCGGAAATAAGGAGCCCATTTTGACCTCTCTCCCTGCAGATATTCATACAGCATAACCAACATGAGAGAAAGCCATGGACCGAGCTGCTCAACATCCTGACCGAGCAAGGTCTTCAGCTCGGAGTTTTGGACGGCGAGAACTAGGCCACGCGGAATCGAGAAGAGTTCTTCACCTTCCGAAAGGTTGCTCTGTGCCACTAGAGCAGGACAGACACGTTAGTGACTCGTGAACATGTCTGTGAGACCCATTTCTGGGGACACTTCGTGGGCACTTTTGTGTGCTTGGCGGAGGGTCTTTTGTAAAATACTCACCGACACCTCGTCCTGCACCGCTTGCTCTGAGATCTGCAAGTCTGAGGTTGGGGTTTAATTTCACTCCCGGAGTTGCTTGCAGCCAAGAAACGAAATTGTCCGACTGTTGTTGGAAGCCCTCGGGGTCGGGGAAGTGGGTAGTCGAAGACATTGGGAATGTGGGAGCTGGGAGAGGAGAGGAGAGGAGAGGGAGGATTAGAGAAAGATATAATAAGACAAGAGGATCATGCAGTCAAAAGGGACAGAAGTGAGGGAAATTAAAAGGCAGAGAGAGGGGAAAAGAAGAAGTAGAGTAAAGAAGTAAAGAGAGGAAATGTTCGGAGAAATGGGGTGCCGCTTTAAGCCGATAACGATAACGAAAAACATTCATACTTCGACATTTTCATGCTTCTCTTTCACATATACTCTCATTCTTTGACATTCTGCCCATCATGATCGCAATTGGCATGGAAGGCTCTGCCAACAAATTGGGCATCGGCATCATGCTGCATCCCAACGATGGAAGCCCCCGCAGGTCCTCGCCAATATCCGTCACACCTACGTCTCCCCACCAGGCGAGGGGTTCCTGCCCAAGGATACAGCGCGCCATCACCGCGCGTGGGTTGTGAAGCTTGTGAAACAGGCGCTGAAGGAAGCCCGGGTATCTGTCGACGATGTGGACTGCATTTGCTTCACCAAGGGACCAGGAATGGGTGCCCCGCTACAGAGTGTGGTAGTGGCGGCGCGGATGCTGAGTCTGCTCTGGGGCAAGGAATTGGTCGGAGTAAACCACTGTGTTGGACGTATGTCTCAAATACATTGCATCAATGTCCTTCTAGTCCAAGAACCAAAAGGTCTGACAATGTGATATCCAGATATCGAAATGGGCCGTCTCATCACCGGCGCGACAAACCCAGTCGTCCTATATGTCTCTGGTGGAAACACACAAGTCATCGCATACAGCTCGCAGAGATACCGTATTTTCGGCGAAACTCTCGATATGGCAGTAGGAAACTGTCTAGACCGGTTCGCGCGCACACTGCACATCTCCAACGACCCAGCACCAGGATACAACATCGAACAGCTAGCAAAGCAAGGAAAGCAGCTGGTCGATCTCCCATACGTCGTGAAAGGCATGGATTGTTCATTCTCGGGTATCTTAGCAGCAATTGATGGCCTTGCCAGGGAGTGGGGGTTAGGTGGGGAAGAAAAGGCGAAGGAAGACGAACAGAAGAATATTCAGAAGAGCGTCATTGCTGCAAATGAGGGTCTGGAGAGCACGCCTACCCGTGCAGACTTATGCTTCTCCCTTCAGGAAACTGTCTTCTCGATTCTTGTTGAGATCACTGAGCGCGCCATGGCGCATGTTGGCTCGAAGCAGGTCCTTATTGTGGGCGGTGTTGGCTCCAATGAGCGCTTGCAGGAGATGATGGGGATTATGGCGCGGGACCGTGGCGGCAGTGTTTATGCCACAGATGAACGGTTCTGCATTGATAATGGCATTATGATTGCGCAGGCTGGTATGCTGGCATATGGGACGGGCTTCCGGACTCCCTTGGAAGAATCTACGTGCACGCAACGATTCCGGACAGACGAGGTGCTTGTCAAGTGGCGGGATTGATATTGATATATCATGCTTCAGTTTAAAAGATCCATTATGTGTTATGAAATGAACGAGTCAGATCCAATATACCATTCGAACCCGGTCAATGAATCTTAGGTACGCCATTGACCCCTAACTAGTCAATTCAACTGTTTCAGAACATTTATAAATTCGTTGCATAAATCTGAACGCCTGTGCACTCCTGTGTAAATTGCCTGCATAATCAAATTCCACGTCCTCTCGAAACCCAATACGAAAGCAACGCCCGAGAAAACATGCAAATATAGTAATATCCTCTTCGTGACGCATTCTTCAACATACATTCATATGGTGACTGTCGATGGTCGGGCAGTCCAGTGAGTAATGAGTTTCCATTGGTACAAAGTACCTCAAGAGCTCTTGGACAGAGGTAAGACCGACAAGTCGATAAAAGAGGAGATTCATCGTAAACATCTTTCATATTTGCAACTCGGATAGATCACAACAGCCCGAGGCAAAATTGGCAAAAATGTATGCATGCATGAGAGAACCACCTATGTGCTTGAGCATAGCTCAATCTGTTATATCGCCAGTTGGTTTGTACAAGATAGTCGTGACATACTAGAAGGCATTCGTTAGATTTTATCGTGAGCAATGAGTAAAAGGTCGACATACTTTTCGTTTGTATCTCGTCGTCACACTAGTGGCCAGAACTCCATTTTTGATGCTGCTTGTGGCAAGATGGTTCAGGACAGTATGATTAGGGTAATTGAGAACACTGCTGTCGTCTTTCATGGGTGTCGTGCCGTTAAGAATTGACTTACCCAAGAAGAGAGGCAGGCTAGGTGGGGTAGCCGTGTCTCCAATGACATTGGCAGCCCGCACATAGGCTGGGTCTTCTTCTTCCTTATCTAGATCGGCAAGGAATTGAGGAATAGCACTACCAAAGTCACCGGGTGGTACTTCTTCTTCTTCGGATTCATCTTTCTGTGGAGAGACATCCTCTAGTCCTTTTGATTGATCTTGCTTAGAAGAATCCGGTACCGTTTGAGGGGTATGGGCTCCTGGCTGAACGCCCGAGTCCCTGTCATGAGCATCATCTGCGCTGATCTCAATGTAGTTGACCAAATGGTTAGTGAAATCCACGGCGGTTGGGAGACTATCTGCGGCGCGCATTTCCCCATCAACAATGAACTTCAGGTGGTGCGTGCCAGGCCGGAGGTTCAACGTAGTGGACATAACGGACGGGTTATTTTCACTATATCACGTTAGTCATGCCTTAATGTAATTGCAATTTGAATATTCAACCAACCTTCTGTGTAGGCGGAATTTCTTCTCCCAGTTGACAAACGTTCCCGTCACGTAGACCTTTTGAGCAGGTGCAGTCCATTCGATAACCACCGGGACAGCCTTGCCCACTCCACTGATAGTGTATGGCTGGAGCTCATCGATCAGCTCCTCTTCTTCAATTGTATTACCCAAAGCAGTGGTGCTCTGGTCCAGTTGATCGTCTAGAAGCTGGTCTGTGGGAAGCGACTGGATATGCGAGTCCTCTGGGCCCATCGGCGATCCGGGCGTAGTATTAGCATCACCAATTGGCAATGGCAACCGCGGTGGACGTTGCAGATGTGCCGATGCGCTATAGTATGAGTTGAGGGGCGGGGCAGACGGTGCCACAGGGTCGCGCCCTGGGGCATGGCGTGAGGTCGGGACCTGGACTGGGTTAGAGTGGTCCCGGATTGGAATGTCCTTGCTCTGAGAAGGCTCCGGTCTCCGTGCACCATGTTTCTCTGGTCTTTCTAAGTAATTGGGAGAGCTCTCGGGGGCATTTCGAGATTGGAGGCGCTGTTGAACGGATCCTTGGTATGTTGTCGACTGCCCGGCGGCAGTCTCCTTAGTGGCGGAGGGGTCGGCCGCGGTGGCCTTGTTGTTTGAGATAGCATTGAGAGAGGACCGACGGGCGATTTTCCGTTCGCCTGCGGAGCTGTGGCCAGCATGGACCGGGGGCGCGTCGCCGACCGGGCCTTTGGAAGGGTTGTTGCCCATCGAAGGCGGGGAAAGGTATCAACTGGACAACCTTTTGCGGGAGTCGAGAGTAGGATTGGTATGAATCACAACGGAAGCATGAAAAAAGACTCTTCCGATGCCAACCCACAGGAAGTATTAGTGGTGGAGGAATTACTAGGACGATGTACTCTCTCTGTACCGTTACAAGTCGAGGCGGACGATGACGCCGGAAGCCCAATCGGGAAACATAGGGCTTAGGGCTTGGCAGTTCGACGCGGCGCGTGCTACATCGATATCAAAACAGTTGAGACAGATCGATTCTCAACGGCAAACATTCATAAGTATACAAAGTCATGAGCTGGATCTCAGTCCCAGCGGCTGTTATGTCGTTCATTTTCAGCGTTACAACTCAATTACTGTCCTATTTGCTGTCACCCCTTCTCTTCCTCCTATCACCGGTGATCTACCTCGGACGGCTTGCTTTATACCTAACTCTGCTTCCATTGCGCATCTTGATCAGATTAGAGGTATGCCGTGGAATAGAGACTTCATTTCTTTCAATTTTATCCTGTAGTGCCATCTGGTCCTCACGTCACTAACCTCTGACAGGCATTCATCTACTTCATGACCGGGGCTGTTCTTATTGGAGCTACTATAGGGATGTTCCTATACTTCACCGGAACTGGTCTGTCGCATGTCCTACGGATTGAAGATTCAGATGAGCCTCACCGACGTCCTGTGAAACATGAGGCTATAGATCCTGCACCACAAGATTCACCCTTCGATTACCTGGATCTGAAGACGGAAGATCACAAATTCCTACCCTCGACAATATTGGAGGAGGAAGAAACCAGCTATGACTCTGAATGATGTACGCATACGTATACATTAGTTGAATCTCAGTACATGATCTCATATGATATAATTGAAGCTGCCATGGCAAATTTGATATAAACTACTTTCTACTCACTTTTGGCCATTAAATCACAACGATTTCTTGGGACAATCATATGCAAGTATGTTGAGCATAACACAGAATGTTTTAATTAGTAGTGTAATTGACGACTCGTAAGTACTCGACAATATCAATCCTCCAAGTCCGTCGTCCTTCAACAGCCCGGCCGGGCTAGCTCAATCGGTAGAGCGTAAGACTCTTAATCTTAAGGCTGCGGGTTCGACCCCCGCGTTCGGCTATTCCTAAACACCGTCCACGAGTGAGCGTTTCTTTTTTTTCTTTTTTGGTGGAGAAAATTTTTTGACGGGGAACCGTGCTGACGGATTAGGACATGGTTGCGTCCCAACCAATCAGAGCTTTGCTTATACTCCACTTGGGCGAACTATCCAAATGTATACTGCAACACTTGGGAAAATTCGTTACTTGGTGTAATTTTTTCTTTTTTTTACAATGGATATCTTTTTAGCCTGTGAGAATAACGCTTAACTTGGCTTGGGTAAACATGCGATCTAGCCAATCGGTTTGAGTAGGTATACCTAGGGACGGTAGAGCACATATATATATATACTCTCAGGCCGCGTCCCTTATTCTCTATCATTCCCAGCATCCTCAAAATTTCATTCACTTGAAGGGGGTTGCTCAATTTGAATCAACCCCAAAGCACAAAATGGTCCGAATCAGCGCATTCGCCGTGGAGCGTGTAAGCAAACCCCAATCCTCAATATACCCTCAAACAAACAACCCTTAACCTCAACAAGTGGATGGACCTCTACGAAAACGATGCGAAGCATAATCTTGCCGAAACATGCTGTGCCTCGATCTCCCTAAATGATCTCTTGTCATTTTCCCAAAAAAAGGATCTAGTAGACTACAGCCAGAAACAAGTCTACGGCGCGATCCGGGGATCGAAGGCGCTGAGAGCCAACATCGCAAATCTGTATCCCCAATCTGTCTCTGCAGAAGGTGTCCTCGTGACAAACGGCGCGATACAGGCGAATTTTCTGGCACTTTATACGAATATTGGCCCCAAGGATCATGTTATTTGCCAGTATCCGACGTATCAGCAGCTATACTCCGTGCCGGAGTCTTTTGGTGCGGAGGTTAGTCTGTGGCGATCGAATGAGGAGAAAGGATGGGGCTTGGATTTGGAAGAGTTGAAGGCTTTGATCCGGCAGAATACGAAGTTGATTATTTTGAAGTATGTGTTTTTCTGTTCGGTGTTGATGTTGGGTTTCTAACCTAACTGGCCATATAGCAACCCCCAGAATCCCACAGGTGCTATTCTTCGCCGCGAAGAATTACAGGCAATTGTTGATATTGCGCGTGAGCATGATATCCTCATTCATTCTGATGAGGTGTATCGGCCTCTCTTCCATTCTCTCAGCCAGAACGAGGGGACTCCCCCGTCTATCCTTGAGTTTGGATATGAGAAGGTGATTTCGACTGGTTCCATGTCCAAGGCATTCAGCTTGGCTGGTATCCGGCTGGGCTGGATTGCGTCGCCGAATCCCGAGATCATTGAAGCGTGTGCTTCTGCTCGTGATTACACGCTTATCTCGGTTGGCCAGATCGATGACGGTGTAGCTGCACATGCCTTGTCTAGTCCTTGCGTGGAAAACTTGTTGCACCGCAATCTTCAACTGGCCAGGCAGAATCTCGATGCGCTTGAGTCGTTTGTAAATGAGTTTAGCTGGGCTGTGAAGTGGACCAGGCCTCAGGCTGGAACGACTGCGTTCATCAAATTCGTTGATAGGGAAGGAAGGGCTATTGATGACGTTGTGCTTTGCCAACGACTGCAAGAGACGACTGGAGTGATGCTGGTCCCTGGAAGCCAGTGTTTTGGAGGTGGTGTTGATTTCCATGGATTTGTGCGAGTAGGCTATGTCCCTGAGCACGAGGTGATGGTCGATGGCCTGCAGGCTTTGAGGAAGTTTATGCGTGGCGGGTATGAGAAGCTGTCATTGGCGTAGTGAGGCAATCGGTTCTCTAGAATAGAACCAATTCTAATCCCAGTCTTGCAAAATAGCTATCCCAAGACAATGAAGTCTTCGATGCCCAGTATTTGCTCAATAGTTCCCGTGCCCTTGTAAAGTTGCCCATCCCAAGGGTTTGCATATCACCCATGCGCTTGTGGATGAACTCTCGTTCTTTGGTGTCATTGGTTTCACAGCCAGCGCTAAACATTGGCCAAAGAATTAGGATATTTGCAGATGAGAATGATGACATTTGTTCAACGGCATGAACAATGTTCTTGATGTCTGACTTGACAAGATCGTGATTGCCTGGAAGCATCTGAACTCGTCGATGAAGATGCAGCAAAGCGGAGTATACAAAGGCTAGGTGTGTGCTTTGCAACTCAATATGATCCCCAATATCGTAAACCCGGCAATCAACAAGAGAACGTATATCACTCTCGAGTGACCGAGACTCCTCCATAAGGTCGCGCAACTCGAGCCCACTTTGACTTTGTCTCTGCACCAAATTAGACAGTTTCGCAAGCAGCGGGGCCAATTTCAGGGAGTAGCCACAGATGTCGTCAACATGCACACTGTCCTGATCACCAATCCTGTTCAACAGCCTATTCTCAGGGCACTGAATATCACCAGTGCTTAGTCCCGATAACCCTGCGAGAACATCCATTGTAGTGAACCACTTCACCAAACACTGGACATAGGGATCAGCAATGCGCAATGTTCCCTGACTGTCCAAAAACGCAGCTAGCAGACGCATAACACCACCAAGGTGGGTGCGCCATGTTTGCATGTTCCCATTGCAGACATCATTCGTACAAAGAGCCATTGCAGTAGTCACCGTCTCCGCTGTCAATGTTGCATTCGTGTCGTAGAGGGTCGATCGTAGACTGGAAATCGAGAGATTCGTAAATTTCAAACATGAAACTCTGGAATCCGGCCCTGTATTCTTGACGAGTCGGCTGTGGTGGCTACAGGCAGACGCTAGCAATGCGTAGAGGAGATGAGGCGTTTCTAGGGAGCTTGCAATAATCCTTTGCAGAAAGATCTCCGGGGCTGCAGGGAACAGCCGCGGGGCAGTCTCAGCACTGAAAATGTGCATAAAGAATTGGGACTCTTTAGATGACAGAAATGGCGACAAATTGATCGTCGGTTGATGCGCGAGAGGGTTCAGACTCTGGCTGACACTCAGGCCGACTTGATCATTCACATCCTGCCTTGCCCGAATTGGCCGTTGTGTAATCAGGTTCAGATCATACTTGCACTCTTTCGGAAATCGAGTGCAGCGCGAACATACTGGCCTTTTCAAGTCGCACTATAGACCAGGGTCAGTGAGATTCATGTGGAGTGGGATGATGCTGTTACTTTTACTTTCTTCCTGCGGCACTCCGCGCAGCCATCTCGTCTTCTTTGGGCATAGCCGCTTTTACTAACTCGATGATTCTGCATCAAACGTTATGCGCAAAGAGAAGAAGTGAACGTTGTGAAGTGAAGAGGATCGGGAGTCCCACCTTGCCTGTTTGAGTCAAGTACCCGATCCAACCAATCACATCTCTTCATATATCCTCCCCATCCATCCATGTCTAATATCCAGACTCGGGAGCATGAGAATGACCTAGGTTAATGCACATCTGCCAATATGTCCCTCTAGTGGCTTAATCCACCTGCGTAATATATTGTGCTTAATATCTACAACTTTCTGTGGAAGCTTCGCTCAAATTTACTCACCACTCCACGTCTATATGCTAGATGCGATGATACAACAGGGCGTCATAAATGTGTATAGAGTGCCACTGATGAGATAATAGGCAGTAGTGAAGCCAGTATACCGTTTAATTCATTGTTTCCTCCCACCTAGACCTTTCTCTTTTCACTTCTTTTTCACCCGTTTTTTTTCGTGTAGTTGCGCCAAAATGGTTGGTTAATCATATAGATTATATAGAGGCGGGGGTATAAAAGGGTTTATGGCCTCTGACTGTATAAAATCTATGCAACCCTTTAACGTTTTGCAAAACCAACTACTATCCCAAAGTTCGTCTGATGTCATATGATATTTGCTTTGCGTCTACGCAAAATAAGCGACGTGGCATAGTAATGTTGTGTAACTGATAGATTCTTTGCGAGAATATTTACATCCTTGTAGCCTTCTGCTGTAGTTTGGCAAGCATATTTTACTACGTCTACTGCGGCCCACGTTCATTCAAAGTATATAAAGCGCCCCGTGGTTCCGTTATTTGATATCTATATATTGATATACAGGGATAAGAGACCAGAAGCTACTGCCCATCTGCTCATCGAAACCACAATAAAATCAGTCGCAAGTAATGAGTTACTGTAATCGCAACGTAAGAATTTTTTTTAATGTGATTCTCTATCCGCAGAGCAACCTACCTTAGTTAGATCTTGCTGATTCACCCATTGCTTATCTGGCCGAGGAACGCAACGAAGACGCAGAAGCTCTTTAGGAGATGAACGATTAGTAGTGAATTGACTAGCCTTCTTCGCTGACTACAGCATAAGACGTTGTACGCTCGTGGGGACAAAGAGCTGTCAAAACTTACGGGCCTTAGATAATGGAGCAGATGGTAGTCTCTTTCTAACTTTAGAAAAATGGTTACCAAATATTGAGATGCGAGTGGTACAAGCATTTATTGGACCTGAGCAGGATCAGCCATGGCCACCTCGTTGATATTCTGTCCGTTTTGAATGCCACAAAAATTGGCAGAGTTCTGACAGCAAGTTTCTGGACAATTTCCTCCTCCTCATCAACATTTACCTTGTAAGATTCCAGACCAGAAAGTTGTCCCGACATAGTTTCGAAAGTAGGCGGCATAGGTCTGCAACGCACGCTCCAAGCTGCCCAAAGCTGATGATGACGACCTTCCCACTACTGATACCCTAGTCTAAATTCGACTCTTTAGGACATTTTAATGAAAGTATATAATAAGCAATGCAAAAAATGTACACACCCTTTCAGCTCAGTCACGACCACCGTGTATGTTCAAAAGAGCTCGGTAGTTGTCTTTAGGAATATGGAGTTGGAGTTATATGATGCTGTGATAAGCTTCTGGGTTGGTGAGAACTGGCAGGTAGGCGGGTTAAATAGATCTCATAAATCATCGATCCACTTTAAACCTTTAGTTTACATGCAAGAGAGATGGCTGCGGCATACCTATCATATACAAAATCCTGCTCCCGCAAACTTGTTGACTCTTGGTGCTCCATTGGTGGCCAATAAGTTGGCCGAACAAATTATTGTTGCGTCACAAAAGTCGGAATCAATCTATTGGTACATGTGTAGAGATCTCATTCTGACACACTTTGCGCATATGTTTAGATTATCGCACTTGGAAAAAGAAGCCATGAAAGATCATATGATGATCTTAATATAGAAATGACCCACGTGGCTAGAATTGTGGCGCGGACGAATATGAACGTAGAGACGATACCGAGAGCCATTTGAAAGGGCTTCGATACTAACTACAAGAGAAGATCAGGGACGAAAAGAAGCTTGAAAATATGTATTTCATGGGGGACGAGGATTTGAATATAGTCTTGTGTCCTTCTGGCTTTTAGACAGGGTACATAGTACACGTCTATCATTTTAGTGACGTTTCAGCCAGTATTATCATCAAGAACCATAGCCAACAGATTAAGAACGTCCAGTCTCAGTTACTTTTAGTATAAAATATGACTGTTTATTTGCTCTCACAAATAAAATATATTCCTCGAACACGAAGTTGCCCATCCCGGAGAAAATACATGTACATGTACTAAGTAGCCCAGTAAGAAACCCCTCCCTGCAAGCCCCTGTCAAATCTCGCCTCACCCTGGAAATCAGCTGGTTGGGTATTGATACATGTCCAGATGCCATTTTTGACCAGCCAAGGGTTCTGCCTATTGGCCTGCCCTATATTCCAAATCGTACTTGTTTGTTCCCCGCCCTTAACAAATTCCCTACTTAAGCCCAACATCTCCTGGTCAACTTGTTTGCTTTTATTATTTTCTTGTGAAGTTATCATTCTGTCTATTTGTCATGATGTCTTCTGTTTCTGAGAAACCTGCAAAGTATTTTACCCCAGACTCAGCGTGTCACTACAATACCTCAAACTCACTCTTACTCCTACACAGGTCAATCTTCACCAAGAAGCCGATCCAAATCGAAGTGGGAAGAGAAAATCTGATTTACTATGTTCATCATGGGGCTCTTGAGGCGTGTCCTTCATTTGATATCGAGTTCGAGTATATGCTCGACTGGAGTGCCTTTGACGAACAAACTGTTGAATGTGTCTTGAGCTTCCTTTACACTGGAGACTACCCAATCAATCTTCCTATTCCTGAGGCAACTGAGGGGAAGAAGGAATTCACAGATGATGCAGAAGAAGAAATGGTGGAAGAGCCGGAGGATGAAGATACAGCAGAAGAGGAAGAGCCGGAGGAAGCGGTAGAAGTGGAAGAAGAAGAGCCAGAGGAAGGTAAGCTCATATCAATTCCTCTTATGTCATGACCAGAGAGTTTAACACCAGAATATCAATATAGAACCCCAGTCCTCAGCAACAGAACCAACATCGCCATCACCAGACATGGAGATCACACACGGACGACGGTGCAAATCAGCAACAACATCGACACCATCGGTGTCACGTCCACAATCCGAGTCAGGAGACGGTTTAATCGCTCGACCCCTAACACCCATTCGAGATTGCCCAGGAGTAAGACTTCCTGACGAATTCACGCCACCGAAAAGGCAAGAAGAGCCCCAAGAAAGCGACGTCGCGGAAATATACCTTCACGCCAAGGTCTACTCCTTCGCCTGTCATTACGACTTCATAAAGCTGAAAGGATTTACACTGAATCGCCTAGCTCAAATTCTTGATCGTCTCCAGCGAACACAGCTGGATCTATTCCCATACCTGGCTGATGCAATTCGATTGATTTATACCACGACTGAGGATGGTGACTCGGCGAGGTACCTGCTTTCGCAGTTCGTTGCGCTGAAATATACCACTCTGTTAGGCGAGGAGATGAACAAGCTTGTTACAGAGGGAGGTGACTTTATGGTTGATGTTTCTGGGAAGCTTGCGCGAAAGATTAGCTCGATGACATTGGAAGAGACGGTTGAGGAACTTACCACGAAAATTTCAGAGTTGGAGTTGGAGGCTGCTGCTGATCGGGAGGCTTTGAAGAGTTTAAAGGAGGAGGTTGAGGGTTGGGAGAATTGGAATCGGCAGCTTGCTTATGCGCAGCGGAGGAAACAGGGGGAGAAATATCCGATCTTTACATATGAAATCTGAGATTTGAGACTCTAAGGGCGACAGTCGAGGAGGTCGAGATACAATTTGGGCAATGGAGGTTGAAATTCATGTCTACGGCAGTCAGATGGAAATTGGATCACACTTGACTGAACAGAGGCTATAGTCACAAGTTTAGTTTTACATTCTGCAAACTACCTCATTTATTGACATGATTGCTCCTTATGTATCCATAATGTATACAGAATATGGTACTATCCAGATAATTTTTGACAAGTATATGTCTCCCATTTATACTCTCAAGGATAGCCTACAATGCATGCCCTATCCGGGCCTCGCATCTATGCTTCATCACCAAATTGGCTCTGCCGTCCACTTGTATCGGAGGTGCATCCGGTTTTATCATCTTTCAGTTTTTCCAGCTCATCAAAGGTTGGCGTGAAGTCGGATTCTCGTGCCGTTTTGTTGACAAAGAAAAAGCTGCTGATGTGAGTTACAACGTTTTCTACCATCATTTTTCGTGGCATATAACATTACTAGACTAAATGGTAGTTGCAGGAATACCGGATACATGATCTTGCAGGGTTTGGGCTGATGGAAGGGGGTGCGCCATGGCCCTATCCACTCATCATGAATATATTTGAGCAGCTAGTAGCAACATATCCCCTGAGAATGACAACGGAAGCACACAAGCAGGTCCACACTATAAGCCATGGCTTTAGTCGTGGATCTTCTGGCCCATATTGTCACCACTGCAAGAGAGGCTATCCCAGCCGGGCATGTCATACATTGCACGAATGGCTACGCGGGGCACCTGCTGCTCCGCTGCATGGCCATTGAGTGCCACTTAAGGGAACAGTGGCCGTCCGAGGTCTCGGTGAACGCCTACCTAATCGGGGCAGAGATACTTCCTGGAGTCTGCATCATGCTCCTCAAAGGGACCCTAATGATGGGAGAATTGCTAGTGAAGTATACTATCTACAACAAAACGTCAGTCCAGGGTATCTACTCTTTGGCGACGAGAAGACGACACCAGCGGAGGCGTTGACCTCCAACGACTCGGAGCAGCAGGAGTGCGCTGTGGAGCACCTTCGAGATGAACTTCCTGCGTTATTTGGCCTCCAACGCTCTGCCACTGACGGCTTGGTCAGTAATTGGACAGGTGTGATGGGTTTTACTGCAGATGGTCTGCCTCTTGTCGGGAGAGCGCCAAGCTCTGTTTCTGGGCGCTATGGACAGGGCGAATGGATAGCTGCCAGCTTCAACTGAATGGACATGTCAATGTGCACTCAGGAAGGTGAAGCAATTGCACGCATAGACTTGGATGAAGATATCGTAGATTGATTTCCGGAAGCTTATATCCTCTCACCTTCATGGCTTCAGACTGGCTGAATATCGGGAACACCAAGAAGGAGCTGGGGCATATGTTTCCAGGCGGCACGGAGGAAATGATCAAGTCTAGAATATGAACGGCGTTCACAGCGAGGGCCTTGGAGAAGTGATGTACAACAGGTGTGATTTATATACAAGGCCACTGATAAAGTATCGGACAATCTGTACACGAATGCCTCGAAGCGAGTATACAGTTTCATGCATTGTGTTTTCACCCTACTTTGATATCTCTTTTCTCACCTCATTTTTACCCAGTTTTAAAGTGCCTCAGCTTGTAGTTGTCTAAAAAAAGTAGATTAACCGTGTAATTTATACGGAGGCGGGAGTGGGAAAGGACTTATGGCTTATGCCTCCAGACAGGAGCTGATCCCGTAGCGAAAAGATAAGGCTCCAAGCTCGGGTCAGCTGACTTGGCCTTAAATACAAGCGCAATTCGAAAGACAACTTTCACTTGGAACCGCATTATATTCCATACAATAGTCTATTTCGGTATAGTGTACCATTGTATTTCTATTTCATCCTCTGTCTGGACACAGTTCTTTCCCCCGCACCATTTGCTGCCACATGGAACCAACCCAGGGAAGGAATACCAGTGCAACCCCACGAACTTGTGACCGATGCTTCAGGCTCGTATGTGTTACTACCTGGGCAGACAATTTTGATTGCCTGAAACAATTTTTCATGATACTGACGTCTTGACAGAAGACTCAGTGCGACCTTGTGGACCCCTGCTCTAGATGCAGGCGGCTGGGCATCACATGTACAACTAACAGGCCCGTTCGGCCCAGAGGCAGACCTAGAGGTCGAGCACGAAAGAATGCAACAAAGCCTGCAGACCGTCGGCATTCATATGCGACACATTCGTCGCTGGTTGCTATACAGCAATCGCTTGAACATACCCCCGACTATCATTTGGATTCCTCAGTGGCCACTGAGCTGCTGGAATATATGCTTCTATCCGCCCGCAGTCTTGGAATCTACTCCATATTACCCACAATTGCAGAGCCATCGCAACCAACTGATGGTAACTCCGAAGACCGTGATGCGGATGTGGTTCTTATCGCCGGCAGTCTTCTCATTCCAGGTCTGACTTATGCTTTGCTTGCAATCGCACTTGAGCTACGATACAACAGTCTGCCACAATCTGGGATAGAGCATGCCCATCTCAACAAAGACTCGCTCCGGACAAGCTCCCTCGCGCATATACCCAACCTTTCTTGGCAGTACCAACCACACATTTCCGACGCTATATCTCTTCTATTTCTCAGCTTCACCTGGTGCTTTGATAAGGATTTATGTGAGATCTCTTTGCGCTGGAACTCTCTAGCCCGGGTCATCCTCACAGATGCTGCCCGTAACCACGCCAAAGAAGTTCCCGCCGTTCGACTGCTTGAGCAACGGTTCGTCTCTCTCTCCACCAAGCAAGGAAACCAGAGAATAAGGTGTGCAATGGGCAATAATTAATTTATCATATCATGAATGATAGAACTTTCGAGGGGATCACTTTGCAAGAAAGGTCTGTTGACACAACGGTCTACTGAACATACCTCGCGGTTGTGCCTAACTTGCTTGAATCTTTCTGACCAGAATGCAGAGTACTCTCCCTCCTGCACTTTAGCTGCCCATTGATAATAAATCAAGCAAGCTCTACGGATGCTTTTCTGAATTACTCATCCGAAGTGCCCTCTCGCGACCGGAGCTTACCAGCTGATAACAACGAATTGACAAGTGCCTTCTTTAAGATGTTCAACTATCTAGCCGGGTAGGTCAACATATTGTTCTTTGCGATACTTGATTGGGATCTGACGCAATAGATGTCAGTGCTGCCGGACTTGTTCTCAATGAACCAGAACCGAAAAGTCGTGATTGGAGGGATGCATATGACCGCCTCGAGGATTTCTTCCTTTGCTTTCCACCCTCTTTGCTCAAGTTCAATGACATTGAACATGCATATCAAGCAGAGGCCATGGTCTGGATGCATGGTCTGCTCATACTTCTTCGTAAGACCCCATCCCATTCGCATAAAACGGATGCCTCTGACTAAGTGATACACAAGATACCAAACGGGACTTGGTAGATATTTTACTTGATCCGCAAGTTCTCAGCCAAGAGGTGATTCCATACGCTTTAGGTCATTCTCTGTTATTGGGAGAGGTTTGTCAATTTCCTTGCCCGATCCTATACATGAACCATTCTTGGCACACATGTGATTGCAGTAATAGTCTACATGTGTCGTGATCTTTTGGAGTAGACACCTTCCGACTGACCTGATGCAGATTCTACCTACATTGCAACGTTTGGATCGTCACCTTGAAGGGCTTTCTCCCGCGGTTGTATACTTCCTTGTGTTATCATGTGCAGTGCACATAGTCGCTCTTTGGCAATATTCGCCGGGAGACGACATAATGGCGACTGCTGGCATTAACGAATCTATTGCACAGCCGTTACTAGTACCATCTAAGTTGGCATCATCTTGTCAAAAACATCTTGAAGTACTATCCGTTGTTACGAAGTGCTGCCAGAGGTACAACTCACCGTTGCTAGCGGAAGTTCGAGATCTACTAAAATTTTGCTATACCCGGGTCGTCGATGGGATCTATAGTACTAAGAGCATTTCAGCCTCCGTGTTGATGCTATATCGTTGGAAAGAGAGGGGAACTGGTATCATTCCAATGAATCAGTCCGCGGCACTCGAACAGTGGACTTTCTTTCAATCGACAGAGGAATATATCCATGACTACTTGGCAAAACCTACCGAACAAGCAAGATCGGCCATTGAAGAAGTTTGCTCGCCAGGAAGCAGGATTTGCGAAGAGGGATATTTTGACTTCTCTATTTTGATACCTTAACGACTGAAGACCATTTATCAGTTTCAGGGAAGTCTTAATATTCAACATCAATATATATTCCTTGTGTGGCTTGCAGGCTACAACAGTGGTAAACAAAGCTGAAATTCTCTGCTCAAATTGTCAAGATGGAGGTAGTTGCTCGACCAGCTCAACATTCCAGAACTGTGACTGTAAGACTCAAATCTCCGCCATAGTTCCTGCAGCAGCGTTGCTAAGTGCGTTAGATGCTCTATGCCGAAGCACTGTTGCATCCGCTGCAGAAGCGACAGTATCTCACCCTGAAGACCGGGATTGTTCCCGCACTCATTCGCGACGACTAGAAGAGGCCATGTCATAACATTCATTATTGTGATGCGTTGCTCATCTACGAGATTGAGTAGAGCTCTGAATCCCAAGAGCATTTCCCGTATGAATTTTGCAGTGACATCCTTTCTGTCAGAGAAAATCGGCACAAAGACGCTGGTGCAGAAGCCACCTCTCCACAGGTAGAGCAGCGCCGCCTTTCTCATTATCTCCCATGCGCTTGTCAGAGCGAAGGCAACAGGCATGGAAATTCTAGTGGGCAAATTTGGCGGCCGCCACAAAACCAGCACGATCTCTAACATATTCAACATTTGTGCATGGGTGTCATCTGTCGGGGTGGCGATTGGGCCAGGTACGGATGACCCAGTTCCTTGGCCTACCAAAGTCGCGTCATAAAGCTTTCTGACGAGGGTTCGCAGTGAAGCTGGGCAGTCAGGCAGATTCATATCTTCTAACACAGCGGACATGGTGGCTACAATGGTCAACAGAGACTTCGGATATCCCGCAATAACCTCCAGAGAAGAGAAATCGGATTCACAGGGCGTGCCGGGAGGACAAATATTCCATTCTAGCCACGCTCTTCTGCTATTTCCAGGGCGGCCCAGGGAGAACACGCCGATGTCCAGATGTGCGGCCATTTCCTTGACCAGCCGACCTAGGCCGGTGCCACCTGTAACGTCTGTGTCCAAGGATTCAATCAATGATATCATGCCAGTCACATGGAATGACCAGTCATGGGCTCCCTCGGCCCGCATATTTCTGGGAAAGCCAGCTATCGTTAAAAGCAATACAGAGCCCAGGACTTCGAGGGCAACATCGTGGCTGGCTTCGACGATGTGCAGACAGGCAATGTTCTCTCGAAGGCCGATCAATGCATCATGATACGACTCAAGAGAGGATGTCTTAGGGGACCATAGCTGCGGCTGAGATTGCTCGCCATCCACCGTGTCAAAGGTAGATGATGGATATACAGTGGCTCGTAAACGGTCAGCCAGTGCCAGTAGGGCAGTTCGAATGCTCCGGTGAGATTTCGCGAGTTTTAACAACTCATCCAAGAAGGGCACGCCTGATTCATTGATCGTAGTGAATCTAACCCTAGATATGCGTATCACTTTATTGCGAAGTGTGTTAGCCACATGGTATAGAAAGCATGCGGACAAGCTACGCACGCAACCGAATGGCCTGATTCTCGGGGCCAGAAAGGACAAGCCCGCTCCTGTGCAGCTCAAAGGGCTCCGAAGATGCCGCCCCGTAGCATGTTGTGTCTTGGCTGCAATCCATAAGACCAAGTTCGCAACGAGAAAGGGAAGATGGGCATGACGACCCCACGTGGATACCGTATGGTAAGATAATGGTATTGGTATGGACCTCTGGCAAATCCCCGCCGAAGTATAAAATGTCAAAAAGCGCCGACGGAGATTTTCCCAGATCTTCTACATCTACAAATATTCCCGCCAAGTTTCCATTATATGGATTTACCATCGAAAGGTTTCCCTAATCCTAATTACACTATGACTTCGAACGCTCCAACCCTTGCTGTCTTCTATCATGCTCAAAATATCGAACCTAACACCCGCGGCAGCTTCGGTATATACTCCGACCTAATCCGTTCAAAGCAAGTCGCATGGCGTGTCCCATCATATCTCAGCTGCTAACGTACATGAAGTCCAGGATCGACGAAGCCAGTCTGTGCTGGTATCTGGGACCTTGACCTCGATACGCCATCTTCACCTTTCGTCGTGATGCAAGATGAGGTGAAATATGTTGTTAAAGGTAAAAAAATGTACAACTCTGCCATGTTTACAAATTACTTGGCTAATTTTTTTAATAATTACAGGGAAGATCGTTGTGAAGGACGAAGTGACCAGTGAAACACATGTTTTGGTGCCCGGATCTTTACTATGGATTCCAGCCGGGGCGAAGGTGTCGATTGTCTCGTCGCATGACCTGCGGGCAATTTACTTTGAGTCTAGATTTATGGCGTCCGCTCAACACCCCGGCACCTCACAGGCAGAGGCATTAAAGATCAAGCTGAACGGACTTATTGCTAAATACGTGGAGCAAAATCCAGCCTCAAAAAGGCTACACGATCGGGCGCGACAGAGCCTACCAGACGGCAGCACCCGCTCGGTTCTGGCATCGAGCCCCTTTCCCCTATCCATCAAATCTGCACAGGGATCGTGTCTCACTTCGGTTGACGAAAAAGTCTACGTGGATTACGTATCTGATTTCACCGCCGGCCTTTTTGGTCACTCGAATCCAACAATTCAAGAAGCTATCACTCAGGCTGCGAGCAATGGGTTCAGTCTGGGAGCCGTGACCGAGCTAGAGGCTGAGCTTGCCGAGTCTCTCAAGGCACGATTCTCTAGCATTGATCTCATTCGGTTCTGCAACTCGGGCACTGAAGCAAATACTTATGCACTTGCGACTGCGCTGAACTATACAGGACGCAAGAAGGTGAGTTCATAGGGAGCTTGCGCTGAGATAGGCCCTGTTCATGAGCTTATTGTACTACAGGTTCTTGTTTTTGACCGAGGTTATCACGGCGGAACGCTCACGTTTGACAACGAGTCAAACCCACTCAACATACCACATGAATATATCATTGGAACTTACAACGACATTGAGAATACTCGCTCTGTTTTGGACTTCGAAATCGGTGCCATACTGGTGGAGCCAATGCAGTGTTCCGGGGGCATGCGTCCGGCTACTAAAGAGTTCCTGCTCTTCCTCCGAGAGGCAGCCAACATCCTCGGGGCAGTGTTGATTTTTGATGAGGTGGTTACATCCCGGTTGGACTATCACGGTGTGCAGGGCAAGTTTGAAATCAAACCCGATATGACTACCCTTGGCAAGTACATCGGAGGTGGCATGCCATTCGGAGCCTTCGGAGGCAGGAGTGAAATCATGGGGCAGTTCAACTCTAAATCGGGCGGTAGGAAGCAGTTGTCTCACTCCGGCACTTTCAATAACAACATCTTCACCATGAGTGCAGCCGTCGCGGCATCGAAGATTGTGACCAAAGAAGCCATCGACAAAACTAACAAGCTCGGGGAGAAAGCCCGTTTGGGCATGAATGCCATTCTCCAGACAGAGAACAAAAGCAACAAAGTTACTGCTGTGGGCTGCGGAAGTTGTGTTGGAATCCACTTCTCGGGACCCGATGCTGAAGTTCTCCGTGAAATATGCTACTTTCACAATATTCTTCAAGGATTGTGGATCGGCCGTCGTGGCTTCTTAGCCTTCAATTTCGCGCACACCGGAGCAGATGTGGACGTCTTCCTCGCCTCTTTCAAGTCATATGTAGATATTTATGTCTGATGAAATGAAGGAGATTGCTGCAATTTTTAGTGCAACTCTTGAGTTCGATTAGTATAAGAGCCCCCATTGTAAAAGCCATGGTTAAATTATATATTCGAGAGGCAATGTTGCAATGTTCGTATGTTATGAGAAAGGTAAATAGGTAAATTCGGCGTGGTTCTGTGGCTTCCTATACATTTCTCATTCTTGATGTGAACTAACTTATATCCTCACACTGTGATTGGCTCCATTGGACATTTATTTCGCTTCCTTAACACACTTGGCGTGCATATACCGCGGCTTAAAGTCCGATTGATATGCATATATAGCTTACTCCGTACGGAGTACTTATGTACTTGATTTCCTCTGCCACTTGTTGGCGTTCTCTTTCCCTATTAGTGCTCAGGCCTTGCCGCTTTTTGCTCACTAAGTAGATCTGAGTAGACCTTTGACATTTCACGCGGGACTCGTACTTTTATCATCGAATTAAGAAGGAGAAAACATGAAGTCCTAAAAAGGTTCTTTAGTCTTTTATTGTATAAGCAATTTATACTAGGGCTAACGAGGAACGATGTTTACACATATTCGAACACTCCATATGCAATGAGGTCCTACCACACATATCGTATATCACTGCTTAAGCAAACTTAGAGCCTTGCCAAGGCATGCTGTGGATTAGCAGTTGTGATGTAGATGGGCTCTACTCTGATTCATTCTAGATATTAACCCAAAGCTTAGTCTTGCTCAACAAGAAACTAAGTAGTGATCACGTGAACCTCACAAACCTTATTTATCAATTGTGTGTGTGTGTGGACAACTAGTAATCCCAATCGCGGAACAAGAGTGATTCTCCTACCAAATTAGGTCCCGGGTTAAGTTGTGGAGTTGTACCTCACTTTTCTCCCGGCTCTATAGAAAACTCACAGCTTGAGACAAAAATGATATTGGAGTGTAGTATGCAGTATATAGTACAATTACAAATCTAAAATACATTCCCTCTATCCATGTATGCTCCCATATAATTTACACCTTCAATCCCCTCGCCTCCGCCTTACTCACAGCATCTGCAAACAACTGCTTACAAGGAACAGCACTCCCAAGCCTAGCACAAAGCAAGAACGCCCCACTCAACTTCCGATGCAAACTATAAGTCTCCTCAGGCGGCGGCGCCAACCGCTCACGAATCATAAGTGGAATAAGCGCGCGCACGCGATCCGTGATAGTCTGATTACTGAAATCATACAAATCAGGCGAAGAAAGCATAAACGGCTCGGCGAGGGTTGTCATCGACGAAAGATGCGCGTCGACCATGGCAGGTGATTCCATACCAGTTAGGTAACCCAATTCGATGGAGAGGTCGTGGCAGGTCTTTTTGTCGTTGCGGGTTGCTGCGACGAGGGTGCGTACGTAGGTCGAGATGAATTTTTCGGGGTAGGCGCGGGAGGCGCCGAAGTCGAGGAGTTCGAGTTTGTTTGTTGCTGCGTTGTATAGGAAGTTTGTCCAGTTGGGGTCTGTTTGCATGTAGTGGAATTCGATGATTTCGCGGAGGCAGAGGCGCATTATCTGGGTGCCGATCCAGTCGCGTTGGGTTTGGGTGAAGTCTTGGATTTTGGTTACGGCTACGCCGTTTAGCATTTCCATTGTTAGGACTTGTTTTCCCGAGGCCGAGGGGATTATTTCTGGGACCACAAAAACGGGGTCGTCGGCGAGGAGGGAGCGGAATTTTGAGGCGCCTTCGGCTTCGCGGATATAGTCGCATTCCCAGGCGAGTTCCGTGCGTGCGTTGGCGATTGTCTTGTCGAGGTAGAGGCCTTTGGGGAGGAGGCGGGAGGCTGTTAGGAGGATGGAGAGGTTGTTCAAGTCCGAGTCGATTGAGTCGGCTACGCCTGGGTATTGCACTTTGACAGCCACGGGTTCACCGGTGCTGGCCAGGACGGCCGAGTGGACTTGGCCGATTGAGGCAGCGGCCATGGGGACCTCGTTGAAGGTTGTGAAGAGGTCGCGCCAATTTGGTCCGAGGTTATCGGTCAAGACCTTGTCGCGCTGCCAGGCGGGCATGTAGTCTGCGCGATCTTGCACGCGCTGCAGGACTTGTTGGATTGGTTCGGGGAGCATATTGGAGTCTAGACAAATGAGCAGACGAAATAGTGAGAGGGTGAATGCAACATACCTTGAATGCTCAGCATCTGTCCTAGCTTGAGAGCCGCACCACGCATCTTGGACAGCTTAGCCACCATGCGTTCCATATTACCAGGACTGAACATGATCGACCCGCTGTCCTGACTACCAGTAGCCCGTCGGAAACCTTCGCCGACAGCACCAAAAGCCATCGAGGTAGCCAGACCACCATACTGCCATAACCGTCCCAAACGAGAAGAAGGCACACGCGACTCCAACATCTGGTATGTCTGAGGCACGCCCACAGTCTCGGCACTGGGCACGACATCTTCAGCAACACTAGCAGCCAACTCCTCCATTTCCTGGGTCTCAGATTTCACAGGCTTGGTCTCTGCCAACTTCCACTCCCTCCTCGGCGCCGGCTTGCCAGACATCATACGAGACACCCGCGGACTGTGAAACAAACCCTGAATCATCTCCTCGGACATCTCCTCACCCGCCTCAACCTTTTTGGCTGTCTCCGGCTCAACAGGGGAGTGGAAAACATCGGCATTCAACCCGTCCGCCACGACCTGTTCACCACCTGCAACCTTGGGTACCTTGACCCTCGGCAAGCTTGACAACTCAGGCGCCGACTGACTGGACGGTTGATAGAAGACATCCTGTTGCTTACTGACATTCAATGCGTCGGGTTTCTCATCGCCGACATACTGTGCCGTCTGAGTGGGGACCTGTGACTCGGCCTGGCGTTGTAGTCTGCGGGCTTGATCCGGCGGTGGCGACGTTGATGTTACACCGGCGGTGTTGGTGGTGGTGGTGGTGGTGGTGGTAGTAGTAGTGGTTGTATTGGCCGATGTCGATGCCGACGTGCTTAGATCGGCGGACGGGGGTGTGTGGGAGTTGGCCGAATCGCTCGGTGGCGAGGGTTCATCGAATCGGCGCGCGAGAGCGGCCGCGGCTTGTGCGGTCAGGATTAGGCCCTCTGTTTGGGCTTTGATGCCCTTGGTCAGGGACGACGTGCGGGTATAGACATCTAGCTGCTGTTGCCGGATGGAGAGGTGTTTTGCGGCTACCGTTTTGGAGACATTGAGGAATTGGATGGCGTCTAATAGACGCTTACCTGACATGGCGGACAATGAGAGAAGAGACAAAGCTCCGGGGAGATCGGAGAAAGTAGGGCGGAGGGGGAGCCAAGCTGTGAGTAAAAGTGGTTGATAATGGCTGATAGGGAGCGATCGGGTGGCACGGCAGCCTCCGATTACCCACTTCGATGTATAAGTCGACTCTTTTCTTCAATTGTCAACTGTTCGGCATTTAATTTTATACCCCATACCCCGGACTATACTATATACTATACTATTATACTATATCATGTTCCTCAAAGACACCCAAGAGCTCGAGGCCGAAGTCGCCCAGCTCGAATCGCGCCTCCAAGATGCCCGCGCGCAACTAGCAGCCTCCGAATATCCAAGCCCACCATCTTCACACCCCAACAGCTGGGTAATGAAAGGTACGACAGCCAACCTAATCCCCTAATCAACTCCCCTAACTAGCAAACCCCTAGAACCATCCACATATAAACAACCTCAACAAAATAAGAAATTCACCTCCGACACAATCCGCTCCTCCCTCCACGCTCTCCTCCTCCTCTCCGACTCCGCCCTCCCACTAGGCTCATTCGCATACTCCAGCGGGCTGGAGTCCTACCTCGCCCACAACAAACCCGGCCGCTCCCAGTCGCCCGTCACATCCTTCCACCGCTTCCTCAAATTATCCATCGCCTCAATCGCAAGCACATCCCTACCTTACGTGCTAGCCGGGTACAGAAACCCCGAAACCCTCGAAACACTAGATAACGACCTCGACGCATCAACGCCCTGCATCGTTGGACAGCGCGCGAGTATCGCACAAGGCCGCGCCTTGATTGGAGTTTGGGAACGCGCGTTCCGGGTTTCGTTTGCTAGTCCTGAGAACCCCGCTGGTCGGGAGGCTCAGGTGGCTGTGACGGCCATTGATGATTTATCCGATGCGCTCAAGGCATCGATGGATGAGGACGATTTAGGGCCTAAGGGGCATTTTGCGCCGTTATGGGGCGTCGTGTGTCGGGCTATGGGGCTTGATTTGCAGGAGACGGCGTATGTGTTTGTGGTTAATCATGCCAAGGCGGTGTTGAGTGCTGCTGTGCGGGCTTCGGTTATGGGGCCGTATCAGGCGCAGAATGTGCTTGCTAGTCAGAGTTTGCAGGATACTATTTTGAAGCGGATTGGGAGGGAGTGGAATACGCCTGTTGAGGAGGCTGGGCAGGTGGTGCCTGCGTTGGATTTGTGGATTGGGAGGCATGAGTTGTTGTATAGTAGGATCTTTAACTCGTGATTCGGGGTTATTTGGGCCTGGGATAAAGAATAAATTATCATTGTACTTTCACATTGCATTCGTCATGTTTTGCTGAGGTTTCTCTCCGTACACGTAGTCCTACATCACACTGAAATCTAAGTAAAACAGCCCAATGCCCCGGAGATCAGTATGCGCCGGCCTCGAGTCCGAGGACACGCCTGTATCCCACATGGTTTTGGAAAGACAAAAACGGAAAAAAAAGGCAAGAAGAAAAGATGGCCCGGTTAGGGCGAGCATACATAACTCATCAAACGCCGGCCCAAACCAGACCTGCTGAACCACGAAACACCGCACCATGAACCCGTCCGAATGTGACTAAAAAAAATAGACGCAAAGAGGAAGTGTCGAAAGGAAAGATATAATACAGGAGGTGAAGGTCGATTAGAGGGTGATGTGCATGTAATCGTTGCTTCCGAAGGATTTGCCGCAGTTGGGACACTTTCGAGAGCGAGATTGAACACGTTCGTCCACGCATTCCCGGCAGAAGACATGACCGCATGTTTTGATCGCCGTGTTCTTGAAGTTGCGACGACAGACCGTGCAAAGTGCGAGTGTCTGCACAGGTTAGCGTGGCTTTCAACAACAGATCGGACGACTTACCCGTAGCATTTCATATTCCGAGGACGAATTGCCAAGACTCTTGTTCTTCCAGTTGTCCAGGCTCTTCTTGGTATCTGAAAGAGACTGCTTGAGACTAGCAATCTCTGTTTCAGCTTGTCGTAAGGAAGAGTTGGTATTGCCCAATGTCGAGTCCTTAGAGGCGGAGAGGTCTTTAAGCTCAGCCACCTGCTGCTTTAACCCATTCGTGAGGATGTCGCTTTCGGCTAACTGCTGCTGGATCTTGTGTTGTTTGCTGAGAGCTTTGTTTAGCGCCTCCTTCGTTTCACTGACTTGCTTATCCATGTTGGATACCAACGATCTTGTGGAAGCTTCAGACTCCTTCAACTGTGACACGATATCCGACGTCTTCGAATTTTGCATTCGGAGAGTGCGAACTTCGACATCGCGGGCTTCTTTGCTCTTCATTGCTGCAAAGAATTTCTGATCGGCCTTGGACTTTTCTGCTGTGAGACGCGCAATCTTCTCCTCCATAGCCCCAAAGTCGGTGACTTTCGAGGATGCCAGCTTCGCAAACTTTGTGTAGGCCGTCTGCATTGAGGTCAACTCGGTGTTGAGCATGGCATATTGGCGCTCGAGACTGCTGTACTTGGCTCGAAGTTCTTCCAGCGGCATGGCCTCAACATTCTCGTCAGCCTTGGAACCTTCGATCTGCACTTGTAACCTTTGAGTCTCCGACTCGAGAGCTGCAATCCGGGCCTCCCTAGCATCTGCCAGCTCTTGGAGCTTCAATCCAGAAGTCTTTTCCTGGTCCTGGGCGGCTTTCCGCATTTGTTGATCGGCTAGAAGCTCATCACGAGCGTTTCGTATCCGGGCAAGATCGGCTTCCGCTCTCATCAATTGGGCTTCCTTCTCCGCAACGGTGTTATGAATTTCATCCTCCATCTGCATTTTGTATGCAGTTCTTTCGGTGCGATACTTTTCGGCTTCCTCGCGGAGCTGAGTATTCGTCGCCTCCAGATGGTTGATGCGCTTGACTACATCATCATATTGTGATCGCAGTTGTTTGAAAAGGTCCGTATGTGCGTAATCGTCATCCGTGAGTTTGGAATACTAAAATCGCGTTAGCGGTGTGATCAGAAACGCTGGGAACAGCATTACCTTGATTTTGATTTCGGTAATTTCGCTAAGCAAAGAGGCGTTCTCGGCTTCCAGCTTTTGGATTTGCTCCTTTTGCTTTTCCGAAACTGCCGTCAGCTTGTTATTAGCTTCCTCAAGCTCAGGATTGCGTTCCCCCGCGGGAGTCCCTCCGTTCGCGGGTGAGCTTTCTTCGCGCTTCGTTTGTGTTGCGTCGACAGGCCGGGCAGCCATAAGTTGTTGTTTCTCTAGCTTCGCAACAGTCATACTCTTCGCGCGGTCTAGTTTCTTCTCAGCCACTAGATACCGCAGCGAAGCAGCTTCAAGGCTTTCCTCCAACTGTTGCTTTTCCGCGAGAGTCTTTTCAAGCTCTGCAATCGCAACCTTCTCCTCTGCCAGCTTCTTCGCAAGGCGAGTCTGAACTTCTGAAATCTCGGGTGGCGCATTGCTGGACTTGGATTGGACTTGTGAGATTATTGCTCGAATATCCTCCGATCGCGATTTCAAGTGCGTCTTAAAGCTCTCGATATCTTCAAATTGCAGGGAACTTTTGAAATGTTGCTCTGTTGGGGAGGTCAACGTTTGTACGGGTGGCGCGGGGGTTGTGAACATTTGAACGGACCTTGATCTTCGGCTTGCGATGGCCCGAGAAGAACTTTCACTTCATCAATCAACTATCATGATGTCAGTCCCGTTTGCTAAAACTTCCGATAAAAGAACAAGGAATGTGCACGCACCTGTTTGAACCAAGAATCGATAACACGCAGGTGGTCATTGTGAAACGTGGCAGCTTTTGACATTTGACTCAAGCGCGATTCCAATGAAGACTTCTCCCGCTTGTACTCTTGCATTTGGCGCAGTATCGCTTCCTTTTGAAATCGCTATCGCAAAATCCGGGTCAGCATTATATCCAAGGACTGCAGGCCAGCTTGCGTGATCAGAAACCCCTCCTGGAACTGTTCATACCTCCAAATCATCTTTCCATGGCATATCAGCATCGGGATGTGGCTTGCTGCCACCGTTTGCGGTGGTAGCCTGTTTCTTTAAAGGCGGGGCCGAGTCATTGTCTGCGGCGGGCCTCTTCCGGTCCTCCATTTTGACGAGACCAGGTTCTGAAGACGTGACGGGGAATTCGACGGCCGGCATCAGTGGCTAGACTGGCATGAGAGGGGGTTGATATCACCACCGGACCGTCCGTCAGTCAGCCAGACGCAGATCTCGCGACTGTGTCCAATTCTGTCGAGGGAGAGTCCGGTAGAAGGCAACCAGTGAATCAAAGCAAAAGGTGGAAGTGAAGGAAAGGGGAACAGACAAGAGAAGGGGTGGGATGGTAAAGATCCAAGAAGCCTCCTGGCAGGAGGAAAATCCGCTAGCGTCTGGCACGTGACCGCAACCCACCTCACTTCCCCAGTCTGGAACTTTTTCGATCTTCAACCCGCATGTCATATAGAAATGGGCAGCCATGAAGTCCTTTTCCAGCTCCGTTATCAGTGAGTACTATAGTTGTGATGATCTTGATTTAGTTTCTGACGCGTCTTTCAGATAAAACCGGCAAGAAGTTTGCGCCAAAGGCGCCTGTCCGTCGTGCGCCCGCTGCCGTGCCCGCCAGACGCCCAAGCGCAGTTCAACAAGCGCAAGTTCAGGCGGCGCAAGCTGAGACCACCCAGCCAGACAAACAAGATGGGCCAGACAAACGAGATGATGTAGCTGAGTCTGCGCCGCCTTCCGAGTCTGCAGAGCGAGCGTCTGCAGTCGCGGTTGCGAAACCGCAAGCAGCCGACGCAGCTCCAACCGAACCACCTGTCGCAAAAATCGATACGCCGATTGAAACAACCATTGCTACTTCGATCACGAAACCGAATGCGGTTGCGATCCCCAAACCAACTGCCGCCTCAATCCCCAAACCCATCGCCCAGCCCATTCCTCCCCCGAAGCGAAAGGCCTCTGTTCTGGAACCGAGTTCTCATGAACCAACCGCACCCCTTACCCCTCCTTCCACCCAACCCAGTCAGCCCACCCCAGCCTCAACCATCTCAGCCAGTGTGACTCAGCCTGGATCCGCTCGCGATGAGCCAGAAGAAGCTTTGTTGGAATACGCCAGGGTTGAAGCGGCGCGAGCCGCAGAGAACCTTGTGGATTCGACACAACCTCCCCTTTCATCCGATCAAGCCCAACCCGAATCCCAAGACAATGCTGCACCGACCGAGATCCGACCAGCAAAGCGCCGAAAGTCGTCTGTAACAATCGCGAAGCCGGGCCGCAAGAAGTCTGTCTCCACAGTTGTCTCGGCGTCCTCATCTAGGCGAGGCTCCCAGTCAGTTGTGCCCACCATCGAAGATCCAAATGGCACGCCCGGCGTATATGCAACCTCTTCGACCCCAGAACCGTCGCAAGCAAAGACAAAGAAGAGAAAATACTCCAAGGCCGGTACCTCTGATCCTGAAGGCAGCGAAAAACCGAAGCGTGTCCGCAAGAAGCGTGAGCCAACGCCAGAAGGTGCCGAAACAGTCGAAATATTACCCAATGTGGTAAAGATGTCAGAATTATGCAAGGATCTGCGAACCGGAAAGAAATCGAAGCGCGAGACGGAGCTGCGGAAGATGGACCAAGCTGAAGAAGAGCGAAAGAAGGCAGGAACCCCTGCACCAGGAACACCCATTAAGCAAAACGAACCAGACCAGGACAATGCGGAACGACCTCTAGATTGGAAGCCCCAATCCGGTCCAATTATGCGAATTGTCAACGGCGAGATTGTCCTTGACAATTCGTCCTTGCAGGTAGATCGCCACGCTGATGCCGCCCGAGCCGCTGGCGATCTGGAAGATGTGGTGGAAAGCAACCTGACACGGAAGATCAACCAAGCCACCTACGGAAAGCGTTCGAAGACCGAGACCTGGGACGAAGAAATGACAGATTTGTTCTACCGTGGCCTTCGCATGTTCGGCACCGATTTCATGGTGATCAGCAAGCTGTTCCCCGGCCGGTCTCGCCGCCAAATCAAGTTGAAGTTCAACAATGAAGAGCGCCGCGATCCACAGAGGATCAAGGATACCTTGCTCGGACCGCGCGAGCACATCGATATTGCAACGTATTCGGAGATGACGAACACCACATACGATGACCCCAAGGTTGTGCAGCAAGAACTTGATGATGAGAAGAAGCGTATTGAAGATCAGCATGCTAAAGAAAAGCAGCTGCAGGAAGAGATGCTACATAATCCAACCGGCACAGATGCCAAAGATGAAAAGACCGACAAGGCCCCTGCCAAAAAGTCGCGCAAGAAGCATGCGAAGGACGTGGGAGGAGGAACCGAAGAGGTTCTCGGTTCGATCGATGATTTCCCCATGGCTTGAACTGATATAATAAACAATTTATGAGGCAATGGTTTGTGCTTTACGGCGTTTTTGGTCTGATCAACAAGATACACATCATAGCAAGGAGTTTCGGCGGTTTGCTCTTTCGCTGGCTCTTTTCGACTGTACATGAACCAGATTCACATCATTAATCACTGGCTTTCAATATATTCTTATTTCACCTGCGCCTTGTCGATCCAAAACCAGTGCTCTCACTTGTAGATGAGAATCGTGGCGGCGAGCGAGACCTCGAGCTGCCTTCGCCTGCATCATAACCACCAGACCTGAACGAGGACCCGAATCCGCTATTTCCACGTCTTCCCATCTGATATCCAGCTGCAGCACCACCCAGTGCTCCAGTCCAGAAACCCGGCGTCCAACCCTGCCGCCCAAAAGAAGCATTAGGATCAGGACAAGGGCTATAAGGAGGCGGAGGGCCGGGATAGCCACCACCACCTCCTCCACCTCCACCACCCCAGAAACCACCCCAGCCCTGTCCAGGAGCTCTCCCACCACGATTCCTCCGCAGTCCGAAGCAATCCGCAATTATAGGCCAGAAGATCAACACGAAGACAGAAACGAAGAACCCCCAGAAGATCAAATCTCCCAGCAGTGCAAACATCTTCCGATATCCAGCTGTACCGCCGGTCTGCCTGGAAGCCCAACCCGCATCTCCACGTCTCTGACTCTTCCCAAACCTTTTCTCTCCCAGCTCAGTGAGCAGCAGTCGATACTCTACCCCACAGCTCCCCTTCAGAACCCACTTATCATTCGAGTTCCGATATCCCTCGCAGATGACATCTGTAGCGCCGAGCTTGAACTCAGCTGGGAGCGAGGCGGTGCAGGTCCACTGTACGTCTTCCTCGTCATAGTCGTAGCCTTGGTTTGTGCAGCGCATTGTTTCGATTTGGTACAGATCGCAGATCTTCTTCGAGGGTCCTGTGCAGCTGAGTTGGGGCATTGGAGCGACGCGTCGGGAGCTAGTCATTCGGTGATCGCGTAGTGTTAGGGTTTGGACATTGGAGAGAAGAATTGCATCTTGGCCTGGTGGTTTTGTGGTGCCTTTGCTTGTGGTAGGTGTTATGAGGAGCAGAGCTGTTATTGCTAGTGATGGGAGACTGCGCATGGTGTGTGGAGTGTCTGTTATCGGGGGAGATAGTGAGATAAATAAGAATCAAGTTAGTGCAGGATTTATAGGTGTTATAAGTAGATCGGATCCTCAGGCTCCAAGGTTTGAGTCAATAGTTGAGTGGCGGTGGATGCGTGTCCTCACGAAGCTGCCAAGATGAGACGAACAGTTCGATAAGAGATAAGGCAAACCTCCGAGGCTTCTGGTTGAACTTCCTCTTCCTCCCCTCCCTGGCGATGGCTTGAACGTTGTCACAATGGCGCTCCAACAACGTGAGTAATACGATGATTGCTGGATACAACTGCTGACGATGTCGTAGATGAGCCCGCGCCAATTGCGCCTCAATCCTCGTACGTCCCCGTGGAGTGATCTATAGCATCCCACTAACTCCCCCAGCTTGTCTTTTACCCAAGGCTTCCTCCTCGGGCAGCTCTCAGTAGTACTACTGATTGGAGCCTTCATCAAGTTCTTCATCTTTGGTGAAGCGCCACCCCCTCCGTCCCGGGGCATGTCCAATCGCACAACCCACCGCCGCTACAGCTCAGTCTACAACCCGCCCCAAGACGGTCAGAAAACATTACGAGAGAAACCATCCACATCAAACGTCCTCCGTCCTGTACCTGCTACGTCCACGAATACCCGCTCCATCCTCCGCAAGACCTACTACAGCGCCATCCCGACAAATCCCACTAGCAAACATGGCCGACACCGCATGCACCATTCGTCCCATCAGCCAGAGTCACTGGACTGGTTCAATGTTCTCATCGCGCAAACAATTGCCCAGTACAGGCAAACAGCCTACTCCCTCAAAGATTCGCCCACCTCCTCCATCCTCAGCTCCTTGACAGCGGCCATGAACAACCCGGAGAAGAAACCCTCCTTTATAGACAAAATCAACGTCACCGATATCTCGCTCGGGGAGGAATTCCCCATTTTCAGTAACTGTCGCATCATCGCCGTCGATGACCCCAATTCGGATGGTGGACGGCTCCAGGCCCTGCTGGATGTTGACCTCAGTGACGACAATCTCTCCATTGCCGTCGAGACATCTATGGTCCTAAACTACCCCAAACCCCGATCCGCAATCCTGCCAGTAGCACTATCCGTCTCAGTTGTGCGGTTCTCAGGCACACTCTGTATCTCCCTCATCCCAGCATCCACAGAACCGCTCCATACACCTGCGGGGTCACCAGCACCACCACCGGAGCCAGGGTACAATGCAAGCCACCGACCCAGCTCAGCAGACCACACTACCTCAGGCGACCAGCTCCCGCCAAAAAGCAGCCCAAAGAGCAATGTCGCCTTCTCTTTCCTTCCAGACTACCGCCTAGACCTCTCAGTCCGCTCACTCATCGGATCCCGCAGTCGCCTACAGGATGTACCAAAGGTAGCCCAACTAGTCGAAGCACGCGTCCACGCCTGGTTTGAAGAGCGCGTCGTCGAACCCCGTGTTCAGGTCGTCGGTCTTCCAGACCTGTGGCCTCGCATGGGCAGGACAGGCGTCCGAACAGGCGAGGACTCGGATGCCGGGTCTACAGCTCCACCACGAAGCGCTGGCTCTGCCGATGGAAGCTCGCTTCGGTTCCCTGATGGCCATGAACGGGAGCCAGAGGGTCTACGGTTCCGAGGGGGTCTGGATGCGCGGTTAGGGCTTGGTGCTGGCTCCCGCACGAGTAGCTTTAACGTTGATATGGGCGGCTTGAGGAGCTCGAGCATGACTCGGCAGGATAGTGCTGGTGCTGCCACTGATCATTTTGAAATGCCTGGTGCTATGCCGGCTGGGACGCCGACGGCTGGGACGCCGATTCCTGAGGGTGCTTGATTTTGTTGAAATTATCCAGGTTTGACCTGATTGACATATGTATATCTACAACTTGACTCTATGATTTCCACGTGTACCAAGCAACCGTACAATGTAAAACCAATGATAAGTTACTACAACAAATTCTAGGAAGTCTGATTCTTATTCCGAGTATTTTCAAGGCGCTTGCTTGGGATTACAATATTCAAGACACTCCAGATATCTGCCCACAGGGTCTATCATGATCCACACAATCTCGCCTCCTGCCAAAGAACTCCAAGGGTTCAAGGGTGAATAGAAATGCAGGGATTAAGAACTACTTCAACCGGCTTATACCAGGATGATATGTTTACACCAACACCGCTTAGGCACAGTTAGTTCCCCGAGAATATCAATTCTAGGGCATTTATTTCTTTGCCCGTTTATCGACGGTTCGAATGCTACAGTAACTTTCCAGTGCTGTACTTCATGACTTAAGGCTAATGTTAGTCCACGGGTTTCCTAGATCCCCGTACCTTCTTCCGCGCGGTCCTAAGTATGTGTCTACTCATTTCCTTATTGAGCTGACCTGAACTGCTTGACAGCACCAAGTATACTGGTTCCTCGAGTTGATTCGTGCATATTAGTCGTCTTTCGCAGAATGATGACCCTCTCTCAGCAAGGCAAAATTCTTCGCTAGGGAAATTTGGGAGACGTGAAAAGTCAAGCGAAAGGGGGTTCAATTCGTGCCTGTGCCGCGCAAACTCCTACCGGGTCCCTGTGTGTTGTTCTCGTTTTCTCCCGTGTTCCATCATCCTTTTCAGCTTTCTTTGCTTCTACGCCATTGTTTCTTCATTCTCCAGGTCCGCTGTATAACATTCACTCATTCACTCACTCGGCAGCTCAGCTTCAATCAAACACATCACCTTCCTTCTGCACGATCTGTTCATAATCACTGAGCAACTCTCCTTGAAATTTGACTGACATATATATTTACCTCAACTTCTTTCAGTTGAATAGTCATGCATGGTATCTTTTCTTTCCCCCCTTGTCTTGACTATGCGGTCCTGATATTGACTTGTATCGTACGGCTCGTACTTTATCGTTTGGATAGTTGAGTTTGATCTCTACTTAGTTGATAACATGATAGTATCGGATTGAGATAGCTTGCTATGCAGAGCAGATATTAGTCGGGTCGGTGATTTCAGATCTACATAGCCCGAGGATGATCATTTCCTCTGATTCAGGATACATTACACATCTAGAAACTCGGGCCAACACCAACTTGCAAAGATGGAGTCCTCAAAGGCTTCGACAATTCGGATCCAATTGAGAGCAACACATACTCGATGCAACTCTACATCAGCTTAGGAGGGATCATCTTGACCTTGGACGCCAAACCTCCCGAACACCAAATCCCCGACACCATTTATCCAGTAGCGGCAACTGTCTTTGAGAAGGGGCACAAGGGCCAAAAATCAACTTCCAGCCCAACACCCTCTCATTTGAAGCTGGTCAAATTCTCGAGAGGGGAAAATGCCTTCCAAGTTCTTTCTGGCCCTGCACAACGGTTTTTACGATTCAACGTATTGGATTTTCGTGACGAATGATCGAACTTTATTTTAATGTCAAAGTTGGTTACAAATGTATTGATGATATTCCTCGCTTGGTTTTACTCCCCCTAAACATTATCAGTTTTTCCGCGTTTCTATCTTACCTATGAAGGCCGGAGTTATAATTGCACCCTACCGGCTATGCAGTCTTTCCAATGCCTCCTATAATTCCTGATATACACCACACTAACTCTTTATTGATATAAGAACGTTTACATTCGTCCGGGAAGATGAATCTCGCCCTTCACCCTTCCTTCTCGTTCCTTCGACCGTCGGCATTCTCGAAAGTAAGTTAACAAATAACGATTCCCTTGCTTTTTGCCAGGTCAGAACAATGCTAATGTCTACTCTGGTAGCCGACTCAAAGAAAAGATACCGCATTTATGATGTTCACATCAAACTTTTGGAGTAAGCACTCTAGGCATGTGGATGATCATACGCCCGGAAAGAAGAAATCTTGCACCTTTTGATACATGTCTTGCAAATGACCAAGCGAAGAAATTATTACACCGCAAAGTTTTGATGGCAGAGCTGCTGCATATCGTTTCTATGCAAATTTGGCATTGAAAAGTTTAAAGAAGGTCATATAGAAAATCGAATATCAACCTATGTATCGTGAATGTGCAATGGATCAAGCAGCATGGGCATAAAGCCCACAGGTCCGCACAAACTTCTTGTCCTGGAAGTAAAAAGGCCATTCGTTGCCGTAGAGAGCTCTCCATGGTAGAAGGGATATTGCGAGCACAGGGCTTTCTAAAGGTAAGTGGGAGCGTGTACTTGGATTGCTTTGAGCTTTGAAGATTATGATTCTAAGTGGCTTCGTGTTATTACACTAGCTCCTAGGTTCATCGCCCACATATGATACGCTCCAACAGCGGCAGAGTTCCCATGTCACGGTACCCGTTGTAGCCCTTTAAAGGGCCGAGTAGAGAGTCCAGTGTTCGCGCGTTATTGAAGGAGTGATAAAATAAGGAATTAAGTCATGTCGAGCCATATTTTAAGCATTGGCCATTTTAATAAAATATTCCTTTAATATCATCTAATTGTCTGATATGGTGGTTTAGAACGCTGCTGGATCACAGCATCTTCAGTTGTTAGAGTCCAGCCCAGGGGTTCAACTGGGGCTCAACTTTTCTTTGTATTTTGATAGTGTTTCAAGGCCATACACTAATCCCGATCGACCACATCCTTGATTGCGCGGGCTACATATGCCACGTTGTTTTCATTCAACCCGCTCAAGCTCATTCGCCCATTCTCCAACATGTAGACATGATGAACCTCTTTCAGTCGATGGACCTGGGTCTTCGACAAACCGGTATAACTGAACATTCCAATCTGGCGCTCGATATGATCCCAGTTACCTTGCACACCAATATTCTCCAGTTCTAACTTTAATGACATCCTCACCCGCTGGATTCGTGACGCCATGGTTTTCACATCTTCTTCCCACTTCGAGCGAAGCTCCAGGTCTGTCAGGATAATGTGCACACAACGCTCGCCAAAAAGAGAAGGACAGGATATCTCCGCTCGGATCAGTCGAACTAGGTGTGTATATGCACCCTGAGGTGAAACGGAAGGTGGGGTGACAAGATGTAATGCTCCGATTCGCTCACCGTACAGTCCAAAATTCTTCGAAAAAGACTGGCAGACAATCATGCCTGCCGGAGTAGCCGATATTGGTAAGGAGGCGTCTCCGAAAAAAGTCGAGTAGAAGTATCGAATAGCCCAGGCGTCAGCATCCAGATCGCCTGACGCAAAGCCTTGATATGCACTATCAAAAACCACAAAGAGACGTTTTTTTGCAACAATGTCCGCGATTTTCTTCCATTGTGTATGTGTCGGGTCAATGCCTGTTGGGTTATGGGCACAAGCGTGTAAGATCACAACGTCGTTTTCTTCTGCGGAGTTTTCTAGCTCGGCGATCATGCCGTCGAAGTTGAGTGACCGCGTTAAGGGGTCATAATAGGGGTATAGCTTGCGCTTGATATCCGGCCCGGCAGTCTCCCAGATAAGATGATGATTGTCCCAAGTGGGATCGGAAATAAATACATTTTTGGGGCGCAGATAGCGAGCACAGAATAGCGCAGCAAGGTGGTTCGCGCCTGTTCCAGCGACTGTTTGTACGCTGGTTATATTTTCGTTCTGGGCCAATTGAGGACTGAAAAGCAAGTTCCGAGCCTCTTTGGTGAATTCAGCGGCTCCTGGTATTGGAAGATACTCGTGGTTGAGATGTTGCCTGTGCAGGAACTCCTCTGCCTGTAATAATACTGTGAGATGGCGCCCAGCAAAATTTATTGGCTATACCTACACTTCGAACACTGGGCAAAATCCAAGGCTGGCATTGTTCATCGCGGTAGACCCCTTGCCCGAGATTGACCTTTTCCGGGAATGTATCGAGATTGTAGGCCTCCGTCAACGCAAATGACTCGGCCAACGGAAGGACGCGTAGATCGCTGAGAATTGACGAATGTGTCATTGCAAAAAGAAAAAAGTAAAAGTCAACGTTGTGTGATTCCGAATCTCCCAAGACAGAAGAAGAGTGGTATAGAGAAATAATTTATCCCAATTGAAACTACGTGCCTTGGGGGTTAAATGTTATCTCATCTCGGCAAGATGCTCCTGTTGCCGACTTCGTAGATCGGCAACTCGTGGACGTTCGGCATACGCCTTTTACTCATATCATCCATGAAGACAGTGCTCTATAATCCGCTTGTACACCTGAACACTCTCAATAAGCTCCCCAATCTCGATACTCTCGTTATCTCCGTGAGCAACCAAGATAGAACCCGGTCCATAGAGATACTTCTTATGTTCTCCCTTCAACCGCGGAGCATCAGTCCCGAATGCGACAGGCATCGTGCCCATACCCGGTACATCGTGATCTAAGTACAGCTCTGGGTACATGAATTTCTTATTCAGGCGGACATATTCATGCTCTGAAACGATAGCTTCCACTAATCGCTCGATCCCGGGTAAGTCGCTTGCAACTCGAACCGCACATAGTGCCGTGCATTCCGCCGCAAGGATATTGTATCCGACGCCCCCGGTGATTTGACCACAATGAAAGGTGGACGGTCCAATTATGTCTGATGATGGGTACGTTGTTCGCTCAAGCGCTGCCACAACAGCGGTCATCACGGAGATTGCGCTCCGCCCTCGCTGCGGATAGCCTGAGTGCGCTGGAACTCCCTCACTTGTGAGCTCAAAAACGAAGTGCCCTTTATGTCCCACTGCGAGTTTTCCTTCGGTCGGCTCGCCAAATATGACTGCCTCCCATGACAAGTTCATTGAGTTGGCCGCGATCATTCCCGGTCCACCCTTTTCCTCTCCTACGACAAAAAGGAGTGATACATCACTAGGCTGGACACGGTCTTCAACACGTAGCTCCTCCAGTGCGATAATTTGAGCGGCCAATGGGCCCTTATCATCGCATGCACCCCGTCCGTAAATTGTATTTGGCGTCAATCTCACAGGGATGTGCGGAGGAACGGTGTCCATGTGAGATGTGAGACAAATTCGTGTTTTGCGTGATGAGCCTAAGTAGGCGTAGACATTGGAACGGAGACTATCCGGACTGATTGGAATACGTTCAACCGTATAGCCTAAGCCCTGGAGATGCTGTTCAAGAAACAAACCGATGTCGTGTTCCTCGTTGCTGATAGATGGGATTTGCATGAGCTGCCCAAGCAGAGTGACGACCGCAGAAGCCATCATGAAATTCGATGTAGTTCATACGTGGAAGGTGATATTAGCCAAGGCAAATATTATATGTGCATAGATTGGACAATCAACGTAGACTCTTGAGCACTTGAGTGCTTTGATTAATCGGGCTGAGCAAGTTAAGCCGGCGACCCAGTAATCCGGCAGGCTCAGACATCAATCGGGTCAAAGAAACGCACTTGCAAATATGACGAGCCTACGGCTAAGATAGATCAGGCCGGGTACATTGCCCGAGTTCGGCGTTCTTACCGAGAGATCGAGATTACCTTCGGATGGGCCACCGATATCTTGAGATAGGCTTATCAAGTTCGAATATTCATGAGTAACGAAGATAAACCTGTCACGGGTAGAAGAAGGACTGAGAATAATACCATTCTTGAATTTAACAAAATCAGGCCGGACCAAACAAAAACTCGTCTCCTAGCTCGCACTCCAGGTCTCTTAAAGAGTCATCATGGGGGGTCATTCCGTCTGGCCATAAAAGGGCTTTATCTGCCAGAAATCTATCTATAAGAGGATGATCTAGGGGAACTCCGTCCACAAAGCCTAGGGCCCATCCATCGGCATCGTGAACCAGTTGCTCCTGTGGCGTTGTGCTTCCATTGGGAACTGCGGATACACGGGAGCTTGCTTCGTTAGCTTCTCTCATCTTTCCAATACTTGCTCGGGTACGTTGTAGGATCTCATAGTAGTCAAAGCTAGGAAGATTGCCATCTTCCTTCATAGCTCGGAGTATAGTGAAAGCATATGAGACGGCATCTGACATGCCCACGTTTGGGTCCATGACTGCAGACATGACCAAGATGAGAGTGGAGGAGAAAAGATAGTGCGCATCAAAGTATCCAAATGACGCTAGGGATCCTTCAACAAACAGCTTTGATAGGATGGAATTCGATGCCCGTGCGGCCTGCACACAGCTTTCTGCCAGGGCGAGGGTAGTAGGGGAAAAGACCCTGGGCGGGGCTTCGGCAGATGTAGCGCTCAGTGAGAAGCGATTCTTGAAAAGATATAATAGAATCGGACGGGTTGTCGAAATCACACATTGATTATAATGAAGATGAAGACTGGAAATGTTTCGAGGCAGATGCTCTTGGCGTAGTTGTAGCATTGATGGGAGTTCATCGTTCCATTTTCGCAGACTCAGAAGAATTCGATGCACCCTTTGTACAAAGGTTTCTGTAGTTCTTTGTGCGAGGCAATATACGTCATTAACTAGAATGAAGCTCATTAGTGATGCGGACGACGGCCTGAAGTGGAAAGGCACTTTTACGGATTTGCCCTGTGATTTTCGCCAGCTTAACGTTTGCGACTAGGTGGCTGGGATCGGTAAATTCCTCCAACTCGGCCGGAATAAGGCCTTCATTTGTTGGAAGCTCCACATCAATCACAGCATCACTTATAAGCAAAGGGTATCCGAGGTTGGAGCTGCATAGTCGGTCGAGCGTGTAAAGTGTCCACCAGACGCGCTTTCGGTGTTCACGATCCACCGGGCATAGCTTGGTATCTGTGGGCAGACTTCGATGAAGGCCCAGTCCAAGGGCCATTCTCAGAGCAATACCGCTATAGGTGTACGCTGTTTTGACACGTCCTAGAGCGTTTGAATAAAAACACTATGAAATAACCCGTCAGCAAAGCCGCCAATTTTTGGAGCGCGGAGAACCTTGGAACGTATCGACTTACAAAAAGAACCATGACTTCTACCTGTTCCACTGAAGGGGTTTCATATAGATCTTGCAATAGACCAACCGCACGCAGGAAGTAGTCTGTTCCCGGTACGCGTTGATCGGCCGTCCTTCGTTTTCGGTTCGAGTACATTTCACCCAGCGCTAGCAGTACAAAAAACTTGCACATCCATGCAGGGTTCCTGGGGATCTCCCCGGCACACGTTCGGTCCAGCGTGTCGAAAAAGGTTTTCTTCAGAATTAAATGGTAGTCGGTACCTATGAATCGAATGGCAACCTCCACCAATAAGCGAGCTTGTATTCGGTCAGGCAACGTCACCTCTGGGCGCATCAGCCGATGAAAAATATCGTGTTGGAAATATGTCGGAGATGCCCACGATAAGAGATCGGCATCTTTATCGACGCATTGGAGCAAGGTGTCCCCAAAGGCAACGCAGGAAGCCTCACCAATAAAGATGGGCTGTGAGGATGATCTGGCGGCAACGAACCCAGTCGGCGATTCAAGAAGAGGATTAGAAACATCAATATCTGGGGTCTGAGTGGAGGGCTGAACTGGATCTTGAGTAAGACATCTTGTCTCATCTAGCGCAGATGAAGCTTTTGACCGCTGCTTTTGGGCTCTCAAAGCTTTGACTTCTCCCTCTAGCTTTTTGATGTATCTAGGATCTCGATTTCATTAGCTTCCAGGCGTATTCGGAAGAGATTGAAATTGATAGCGTACGTCTCGGACACCGATATCTTTCGGTCTCGTGTAGGAAACTCGCATTGATCGCGATTTTGTGATATGCAGCATGATTGACAGGGCTGAGTACCCGAGCATTTAATCTTCTGTGAGTGACACCGTCGGCAACTATACCGAACCAAAATTTGTCAGCCTAGGAAGAGATAGGACTCGGGGGCATCTCACGCTACATAGATGCGCCTTTGCCGCTTGACTGAGGGGCCGTGTCTGGATGCCATGAGAATAGATGAAGCGGTGATGAAATGGAGAAGTCAAAGGCTGTTTGAAACAAAAACGGGTGCGTTATCTGTCGGGAACCAGATAAGAGTGCGGAGTAACGACCCACGCGTACCCACTGGAGTGCGGATTGCAACTGTCTGTCTTGACTTGGGATATTTCCTAGTTCACTGTACGCTGACAAGATCTTGATATTTAGTTCTCTCGCTGGATGACATATGCATTACTGTCAAGGAAAGGAAATCATTTGTATTGAGCTAGCTTCTATATGAGAGAGAGAGAGAGAAAGTGAAAGGAACATCAAACAGGTACGGAACAACGCCCTATCCACCTGAGGCAGAAACACTAACTAATTACAGAGAGTATCGGAAGAACACATCATAATCGCCTTTCTCCGGTCTTCTTTCCAGTACCTCACCTGCTTCTTCAGCCCGGCGAATTCTTTCTGCTCTTCTTCTGTTCACTACCGTCATCCCAGTCATCAACGAAGCGACCATCACCAATGCCACCACCGCAAGCCCCAGGCTGATTGAAAGTCCCTTTATATACCGCGGAGCAGATTCCGTGGTGAATATCTGCCCGACGGCGACACCCGCAGTGTTTCCGAAGCAGAGTGTCATACCGACCATCGTGGCCCGTTTGAAGTGGCGAGCCGTGTTGTCTTGAAGCCACATGAGCGACAAACCGGTTGTGGGATAAATGCCGAGTGCGACAACTAGAAGGGTTGAGTCCGAGAATGGCAAATGGAGTCAAATGGGATTCTAAACTTACCAAAACACGCGAAGAATCGGACGTTCAGGTTCTCCACCGAAATGAGAATCGAGTAACCGATGATCAGACATAGCAGGGGCCCGGCGAGGAACGGACCCCTGACATTGGCCCTGTCCGAACAATATGCAATCAGGAGGAACCACACCAGGCCAACCATGTAGATTGGGACTGTCATCAGATTTGCTCGTACGCCAGAGTGTCCCAACCCAGAAATGATTTTGGGTAGGAAAGTCGTGAATCCATAAAGAGAGATGTCCACGCTGAACTGGTAGATCCAAAACGCAAACCATTTAGGATCGGTGAGAGCACTTAGAGACTCAGCCCAACTGAATTCTTCATCCTGTCCCCAATGAGGATCATTGTCGTATCGGGCTTGAATCATGCTCTTTTCTTCAGCGCTTAGAAACCAGGCAGTGGTGGGATGTTTCGGGAACACGAAAAAGAAAATTGGCACGAGAACCAAAGTCATGGCACCTTCAACGGCAAACAGCCAGCGCCAGCCTTCCCACCCGTTAGGTCCGTGGACCTGCGTGAGCCCGTAAGCGAGAAGTCCACCAAACGCACTCGAAAAGGCACTAAATGCAAAGATCAAAGCAGAGCGTTTTCCTCGTTCACTCTTCTTGTATACTAGCGCAATGTATACGTTGATGCAGGGGATTAATCCAGCTTCGAAAAGGCCGATCAGTAGCCGACACGTATAAAGCCCTTGCCAGTTTTGAATGAAGGCTGAGAAGGTTAACATCTGAACATAGAGTTTTGAAAGCCATCTACATACCCATTCCAAGAGTTGTAAGCCCCCAGCAGAAGGCGCACGTTGATAACAATGGCTTAGGCCCGATGATCTTAAGAAGCACCGCAATCGGTCCCTCAAAGGGGACATAGGTTGCGTACCTGTTGGTAAAATATATCGTCAGGAATTATTCAAACATAGCGAGGTCAAAGGGCCAAGGGCTCGTACAGTAAAGTCGTAGCGGTTCCAAACTGATTCCCAACTAGGCCCAAGTCCTCTTGCAACCCAGCTGTATTCGCGTTACCGATATTGCTTCGGTCCAAGTTGGCCATCATGTAAAAAAGGCCCAACATTGCAATAGCAAAAAACTATGTTTGCATTAAAAATGTAAGCACTTGAGCCTGGATGCACATATGTGCATATGATGCCATCTTACATCAAATTTCCTCATCATCCTTCTTTCTTTGACTGGATCAATGTAGATCTCGGCTGAACCGACGCTTATGCCGGGCTCGTAGATGTTGGCCGCGTGGGCCTCTTTGATTGATTTTGTTTCCATTGGAGTGTTTAATGTTTGGCAAGGTGAAAAAGGGCCTTGTGTTTGTCCCTGGAGGTAACAATGAAGTTGCGAATTCCGACAGATTATGCTTTGATATATACGGCCAGTTGTACGATAATAAGCCCCTGAGGAGGACACTGGATTCCAGGGCTCCTTGGCCCAAGGCCCAGAAGGCCGAGATTATGTTTATCGAGACCATACGGCAGCTTTCGTATTATCATACAACTTTAATTCAACTGCTCACAAAGGTAAAGCTAATTGCTTATCTTGCTACGATCGGTTATATCGCAAGGTTGCCAGACCAATCGGCTTGCAGCTTCCAGGTCGACGGATCCAGTAACAAACCGACGCCGATCGTTTGCTGTTCTAACCCAAGCAGAAAAGAAATCGCCAGATCGACTGGGAGGAGCTTTGCATCTTACCTTTTTTTTCGAGAGACTAGGAAAAAAAAAAAAACGCTTGAATGAGCTGCTTTGAACAACACCGCGCAGCCGTCGGACTGTCCGTCATTACTTTGTTGGCTGCCTCGCTATGGGCCGTTTATCGCATTCAATCCGAGTCGGACCTCCCACTAGACATTTCAGCACGGATTGACAGTATTTTGAAAGATACACCATTAATTGATGGCCATAATGATTTACCTTACCTCCTTCGGATCGAACTTCAGAATAAGATCAATACCGACCGCTTCACATTCCGGCAAGGTGCGAACTCAAAGGAAATTTTGAAACATCACACATTGGCGATTTACTGACGGATAAATTCTGTACTTAGGACTCGCTAGTCACACTGATCTCAAGCGCCTGCGACAAGGCCGGGTCGGAGGGCAGTTCTGGTCTGTGTTCATGGAATGCCCCGACACGAAGCATGTAGACGACCCAAGTCACATCGTACGCGATACCCTTGAGCAAATTGATGTCGCTCGGCGCTTTATAGAAGCAACACCTGAGCTGAAGTTCTGTCCCACAGCTGCTTTGGCCGTGGAAGCTTTCAAAGCAGGCAAAGTAGCATCTATGCTGGGTGCAGAAGGGTTACACCAAACCGGCTCCTCCATCGCAGTTATTCGCCAATTGTGGGATCTGGGAGTGCGGTATATCACAGTCACTCATAACAGTGATAATGCCTACGCGACTGCAGCTGCTACGGTGACTGCTCTGGGAGTTGACTCTGATGCGGGACTGTCCTTATTCGGGGCGTCGGCTATCCATGAGATGAACCGGCTTGGTATGATGGTAGATTTATCCCATACGTCACATCAAACCATGAGACAAGTATTGGATATCACTCGATCGCCGGTGATTTTCAGTCATAGTACATGCTATGCCTTGGCAAATAATTTTCGAAATGCCCCTGATGATGTTATCAAGCGGTTGAAGACAAACGGCGGGGTCTTGATGGTGATGTTTGTGAAGAGGTTCTTGAACGCAACTCACCCAGAAAGTGCCGATGTCGAGACCGTGGTCGATCATATAATGCACATCGTCGAGTTAGCGGGTTGGGACCATGTCGGGATTGGAGGTGATTTTGATGGGACAGTCACTCTGGCGAATGGTATTCACTCAGTGGCGGATTACCCTAAATTAATCGAGGCTGTGATGCGAAGAGGAGCTACGGACAAGCAAATCAGGAAATTGATTGGCGAGAATATCCTGAGGTGAGTTTTCGATAAGTCACAAGAACCGACTGATTTCAGTCGAAGCAATGTGCAAAACATAGCGCTGACAGTAGGGGTAACTCAGAGTCTGGAGTCGGAACGAGCAAAATGCAGAGAAATTTGCGAGTGAGAAGCCAATAGAGGATGTCTGGGAAGGCCGTAGTTGGTCGAGATGGAACAATCCTTTGCCCAATATGATCCCAGGGAACCCTGATCGGATACAGGCGCATGACTATCCATAGGTGCTACTTGAAGCTACGCGGTTGCGCCAAGTCTGGTCAATAAACTCTCAGGATTTAGCCATACTCAGGACCATAGAATAGGCCACCGTAAGTTGGTTTAAAGAGCGAGTCATAGTGCCAGTGTACTCGTTTAACTACTGGACTTACCACACGGTCAACTTCGAGTCCATTATTGGAAACAGTGTTCTTGCGAGACAGTTTGATAGCCGAAACATCTCTCTTAATGCATGAAGCATCGTAATTTGATTGCGGGGACTATTAAATCTATCGAAAGCTATATCATATCCATAATCTCAATACCCCCTGCAAGTGCTGGGATTTGGTCATTTGCCTCGTGTCTCTCAGTTGCCCACGGCCGTCGCATTCCTCTCAGCCAAACTACCCTGCGTCCGGAACAATGACGATCCAGGGGAAAACTTTTCATGAATCCTGAAAATATCCTTGAACACCTCATCTTTTTTGTGTGGATCTCTTCCATAGCCACCACCTCCAGGTGTATGAACGATGATATGATCGCCAGTATTCATGGGTGCCGTTGCTTTGCCACCCAAGCTGATTGTTCTGCTCGTTCCATCGGGATACTTTCTCAGCCATAGGTTCACTCCACGCTGGCCTTCTTCACCCCCTGCCATGCCATATGGAGGGACAACACGTCTCTCAGATAGAATGGAGACCTGCATAGGTAATCGAAACTCGATGTCGCGGATACAACCATCGCCACCACGATGCCGACCGGCACCGCCACTTCCTTTGCGGATAGAGAACTCGTGGAGAATGACCGGGTATCGCCGTTCAAAGATTTCAGGATCGGAAATGCGGGTATTGGTTATATGTGTGTGCACGCCACTTTCACCATCCCAGTCCGCACCAGCACCGGATCCACCAGCGATGGTCTCATAGTATCCGAACCCTTTGATTACTTCGCCAGTGACTGGATTTGTGCCACCATAGCCAAATGTGAGATTGTTACATGTCCCTTGTGATGCGGCAGCTGCACGGAAGGCTTTGAAGATCAAATCGACAATGCGTTGTGATGTTTCCACATTTGATCCCACGGTTGCTGCTTTTAGCGAAGGCGATAGGAGTGTATTAGGTGGGCATATGAGCTTGATAGGCTTCAGACAGCCTTGGTTGAGAGGGATATCTGATGAGATCATTGATCGAAGACAGTACTATACGGTTTGGTTAGAACGACTTGCTCGTATTCAAAGCTTTAATGCCTCGGACAAAAGTTTGCACTTACCATGATCCCAGAATACATGATTGCTGGTGGACAGTTCAAATTCCCGAAATGCTCAGGCCCAGTACCTGTGAAGTCGAATACTGCATCGCCCGTCTCTTGGTCGATCGTGATCTTCAATGCGAGAGGCGTCCCATCATCGATGTAATCGACAGCTTCCAGAGGTTGTCCTTCAAATCGCTGCGCGATGATCTTGAGCAACCCACGCGTAGACTGGCTGGCATTCTCCTGGATTGCTTTCATATAGAACTCAACTACTGGCCAAGTATATTCCTTGATCAAGGACTGAATCAAATGAATGCCCTTGTTATTTGATGCGATCGCAGCTTGAAGATCAGCAATATTGTCGCGCAGTGTGCGAGTGCCACTCGAACCCGGATATGAAGCTGGGATATCAACCAGGACCTCGAGAAGGCCCGGCTCATCAAAGACCCCTTCTTTCACAATCTTAAAGGACTCAACTGCCGCACCTTCCTGCCAAAGCTCTGTTGAATTAGGGGGCATGGAACCCGGCTGAATGCCGCCAATATCTGCATGGTGCCCTCTGTTGGCGACGAAAAATAGGATTTTTGTCGGGTTTTTATCATCATCAAAGACGGGTGTAGTCACTGTCAGGTCTGGCAGATGTGTACCACCAGCGCTAGGGTGGTTGCTGAGAATAACGTCGCCGGGTTTCAACTCTCCGGGTCCGTATCGGCGCGCTTGGTATGCGATGGCATAGCTCATAGAGCCTAGGTGCCCAGGAATATGAGGGGCGTTTGCGACGAGACTGCCCTCACCAGAAAAGATGGCACACGAATAGTCCAATCGCTCCTTGATGTTCACCGAAACTGAGGTTTTTTGCATGGTCTGGCCCATTTGCTCGGCAACACTCATGAATCGATGTCCGAACACGCTGAGCTGGACAGGATCCACCGCATCGGTGCTGATCTCCGGCTTTTCTATTCCAGAGATCTCAATCACCACATGTTCAGGCAAGATGACAGCTTCACTAGCAGGATCCACAACAATTGTTTGGGTTTTGTCGATGACCATAGCCGGTCCGCTGATTCGCGTACCAATGGATAGATCCTTGAGTGAATAAAGCCCGATATCAATCCAGCCGGTTTGCTCGAAATAGACCTTGATATTCCTCTCGGGAGCGACCGGGGTGGCAGGGGGCGAGTCTGCCAGTTTCTTCATTTCCGCGCAAACGCTAGAAAGGGCGACATCCATACCCTTTCCAATACTCCGCACGCGAACATCATCAATCAGGATCTCCCGAGGCTGCGTGAATCCGAATTCTTGTTGATGGCGAGCGGCGAAAGCTTCACCAAACTCTTCAAATTTGACTGGTCGGGGTATCATCAAGGCTGTGTCACTGCCCTGGTATCTCATATTGAGGAATAACTCATGGTAGATTTGCGGCTTTGAAAATCCTTGGGAAACAAGTCCTGCAACACCCGCATCTTTCAATCTCTCAAACCTTTCTTGAAGTTTGGGGATATTATCAGCAGTGAAGGCAGCAGCTTCGGGCTCTTGGTTCTCAACCACTACATCCGCAAGAGCCATTCCGTAGGCAGATAGAATACTCGAGTATCTCGGGATCAGGGCTTGTCGGATACCGAGATCTCGCGCAATCGCAACCGCATGCTGACCACCGGCTCCACCAAAGCAGCATAGATTGTGTGCAGCGGTCTCAAACCCTCGGCCTTCACTCAATGTTCGAATAGGGCGAGTCATGGTTGCATTTGCGATTGAGAGGAAACCCACTGCAACCTCTTCTGCAGTCAGCTGAGACAGTCCATCTTTCTCTGCGTTGATGGTGGCCGCCAAGGAAGAAAATTTTTCCTTCACGATAGCTATATCTAGGGGTCGAGGGAAG